AAAGCCCTAAAACCCAACCCTCGCCTGAGGCCTTGAGCCCTGAAGCCCACAAACCCTAACCCCTCTGCCGGTTCTCCCACGACAGAGTGTCAGAGCTGGCTGAGTTTTTGTCGTTTTTGTTCGCGCGAGCTGTGATTTGAACACGCAGGCTCGAATTTCAAGCTGTAGACATCGCTAGCCTTGTGCTAGACTTCTATCATACATTTCTAAACATTGAACGTGTCTCTTTTGGACGACTCATTCACCAAGTCTTGAAATTTGTCTCGGACCACGCTGCTGATCCAATGCACCATGGCACTTCTCACGTGTTCATTCACACGCTCGTAGCCGACGCTTCGTTCGATCGTCGCCTTGACCTTCACCTCATCTCGCGGGTCGAAGGCTTCGGATTCGGCAACGTCAACTTCGCAAAGGGATTGGGTCACTTCGGCGATGCCGGCATCTCCAAGCGACAGCTTCTGCGACAGAGACTGCGTGGCCTCGTAAGGCATCACAAACGTCACCTCCATCTGCATGGTGCAGGCGACATACTGCTCGTAGATCGTCCAAACTCTTCGTAAATATGTGGGCTGGTGCCATGTGTCCAGGATGGCCACCACTTTGCTACTGCGACGCAGGTTTTCCTCAAAAACCTCCTCCAAGTTGTCGCTGCCCGCAGGAGTTCCATCCACTATCAAGCGAAATTGATTGTTCACGAAGAAGCCTCAACTGCTGCAAGCGTGGCTGTGTATCAAGTTAAGATTCTTCTCTTTCGGCGCTGGGCACAGAATGTGCTAGGCTTGTCAATACCGAGTGACACATATAGAAAAAGACATCGCGCGGTGGGGCCTGGACCTTCCACATCTGCAAGGCACTTCGCCTTAGCATGTGAACCCCTTGGCTTGGCAAATGGAGCACATTGAAACGGTGTAGAGGCAAAGATCTGGAACACCCAAATCAACAAATGTCCTGGCGTATCACAGTGGATTCTTACATGCTTGGTCACTGATGGCACTGGATGCTGCAATAGTGTCCTCGTCAAATAAGCTGGAGTCTTGAATAAGCAGTTTGCGCATGCTTGTACGTACAGCAGCTCAGTCATGAGAGTCTGCTCACAAACTCAAAAAGCAGGGCCAGCTGTCAGCAAAGATCATGTCTCGATCCCCCAAAAGCAACAGCCCACCCACCCACGCCCCGCACATGCACTAACGAAAGCAAACAAAAAGCAAAAACACATCGCCAACACAATCACAAAAAACCTCGAAATCCCTGTGGCCGAGTCGCAACTGCCACAGTGAATACTGCCAACTCCAAGACAGAAAGTGGTTCTGCTTCTGTCGATGCTGCGGGGGAAGCATGTCCACCAGGGCGCAGCCCAACTTGCCATCCCTTGGGCAGCGGACGTCCTGGCCGTTTAGGGTTTAGGGTTTAGGGTTTAGGGTTTAGGGTTTAGGGTTTAGGGTTTAGGGTTTAGGGTTTAGGGTCCTGGCCGAGCTTGTGGTCCCTGCACCAGAAAAGGTCCTTCAACTCGAGGAAGGTTGGATCCACTTCTCGCGACTTCTCCTGCGCCAGCTGCACGAACTCTTGGAGCAGGTAGGCCAGGCTGACACCTGCGTGCTGACTGTGGCGAGCGCGTATCTCCTTGGCCTCTTGTTCAACGTCATTTGGGCTCCATCCGAGGCTGCCAAGCTGAACAGAAAACTCTTGGACCGTGTCCTCCTGGCTTGATGCTTGGGGAAGCACCCTAAACCCTAAACCCTAAACCCTAAACCCTAAACCCAAAAAATAAAAATGATTTCCAAGCATCGGAAACACCAAAGATGACATGCGACTAACATGGCAGGGCTTTCAACAGGAAGGGCCACCATGACAACGGCTGAAGTACCGCAGGGTTTAGGGTTTAGGGTTTAGGGTTTAGGGTTTAGGGTTTAGGGTTTAGGGTTTAGGGTTTAGGGTTCAGGGTTTAAGGTTTTTAAAACCCATTGCCCAACCAGGGGAGGGTGACCGCTGGCCTGTTCATCCCAGAGGGCTTCGTCCATGTGCTGCAGCAGCTTTTGCATCCGATCCCCACGCTTTTGGTTCTCGAAGAGCTTCTTTTTCTTGTGTCTCCGATGTAGAACCCAAAGCAAAGTCCCCAGGACCAGCAAACCCGCGGCCGCTAAAGGCAACTGGAACGAAGGAAAGTAGAACCACCTGCCTTAGCCATATGGCCGCTCTAAACCCTAAACCCTAAACCCAAAACCCCAAAACCTAAACGCTCTCTTGGGCCTGAAAAAACTCAAACTTGGCAAAGGCCGTTTAGACACTCCAATGGAGGTTCGTAACCCCATTAACCCTAAACCCTAAACCCTCAACCCTAAACCCTAAGCCCGAAACCTTAAACCCTAACCTTTTAAACCCTAAACAATAAACCACAAACATTCTTGACGCGCACGTGCGTGGGCGCGCGTGCCCGCGTAGTAGAGGCCTTGGAGCTCGGGCCTAAGAAGCTTGGAGATGCCTGAAACGCTTAGAGGCCCTGCTGGCTGGAGCCCCTTCAGGGTCGGGAGGTCCTTGCGCTGTGGGTTTAGGGTTTTGGGTTTTGGGTTTAGGGTTTGGGGTTTGGGGGTTGGGGTTCAGGGTTCAGGGTTCAGGGTTTAGGGTGCAGGGTTCAGGGTTTAGGGTTTAGGTCCGACTGTTCCGAAGAAAGCGGCCCCGCGAAGCGGTCACATGCAACTTCAACAAATCTCAAAGGTTTTGGTGAGGCACAGGTGTTGTCCTGCAAGAAGAACGGAAAGTTGCAAGCCTTGCAGGTACCCGCTTCCTTACTGGCCCAAACCCAAGGAAACAAAAGTTGAAACTTTCAGAATAAACTACCTTACTATTGGAAGCCCAAAAGTTGAAAAGTTGGGTTTTGAGCCAGTAAGATTCTGAGTACTCTCTTGGAGGGCATCTTTGGCATTTGCTTCGATTGGCATTGGGCACCTGTCCTGGGGCACAGAGGTTGCATCTCTCGTCCCCAGCTTTGGCATAGCGACCTGCGCCACACATCTGACAAGTTTCGTCTCGAGGTTCGGTGCCATCGGGACACGAGATGCAAGCCAGATCTCCAGTGGGGCCAGCCTTTGGTATCGAAGCCGGGTCTGAGCACTTGCAGCAACTTGCTTCCGTCACCGGTGATGCCAACGATGCACCTTGCATCCGCCGTGTCGTGCCATCGCGGCAAGAGAATGTCTGGCAGGACGGCTTCAGATATGCCAGGCTCCGAACAGCGTCATGCTTCTGGGATCTTCCAGGCATCTTACTATGCAGCGAGCAGCGGCCAGAATCTTCAAGCAAGAAGGCCGAACAATTCTCAGACGCCGTGCACATTGATACACAATCTGGGAACCCGGAAGCTGAGAAAAAGGCCCCTTCCGCTATCCAGCCGTCCTTTCCCAGATCTATGAAACCCGAGTTCAGAGGAGAGCATTTCTCATGCACGCATGCGAGACTTGGGTCGAGGCAAGGACAGGCAGCACAGGCTTCGAAAGCAAAAGACCAAGCTTGGAAATCCAGCTCGATCGGGCACCCCAGTGCCTGTGAAGTGCGACCTTGCACACACTTCGTCATGCCAGAACCATCCCAAGGCCTCGTCATGTGGTTCCAGTTCTGCAATCCTGAAAGGTTCCAGCTGGACAAAGGTCGGTTGAATCTCATGGCAGCAGCAAACATACTGTCCATGTCCTTGACAGACGACGTGTCCCAAAAGCCAAGACCATGATCAAACGAGCTTGCTCCCATGAACATCTTGTGCATATTTGTGACGACTGACACGTTCCAGGAGCCAATGGGCATGTTGAAAGACTGGGCCCCGTAGAACATGTAGCTCATGTCCTGTACTGCGGATGTATCCCATGACCCAATGTCTTGATTGAACTCCTCCGCATTGTAGAACATGGCCTTCATATCTTTGACGCCTGACACATTCCAAGAGCCAATGGGCTTGTTAAACGACCTGGCTCCGAAGAACATGTGTCTCATGTTCCCCGCTGCAGATGTATCCCATGACCCAATGTCTTGATTGAACTCCTCAGCAATGTAGAACATGGACTTCATATCTTTGACGCCGGACACGTTCCAAGAGCCAATGCGCGTGTTAAACGACCTGGCCCCGAAGAACATGCGACTCATGTTCCCCGCTGCGGATGTATCCCATGACCCAATGTCTTGATTGAACGCCTCAGCATTGTAGAACATGGACTTCATATCCTTGACGCCGGACACGTTCCAGGAGCCAATGGGCATGTTGAAAGACTGGGACCCGTAGAACATGTAACTCATATCCCGCACTGCCGATGTATCCCATGACCCAATGTCTTGATTGAACTCCTCAGCATTGCAGAACATGGCCTTCATATCTTTGACGCCAGACACGTTCCAGGAGCCAATGGGCATGTTGAAAGAATGGGACCCGTAGAACATGTAACTCATATTCCGCACTGCCGATGTATCCCATGCCCTAATGTCTCGATTGAACACCGCCGCGTTGTAGAACATGGACTTCATATCATTGACGCCGGACACGTTCCAGGAGCCAATGGGCCTGTTGAATGAACTGGCCCCGAGGAACATGAAACTCATGTTCCGCACTGCCGATGTATCCCATGAACCAATGTCTTGATTGAACTCCGCAGCGTTGTAGAACATGGCCTTCATATCTTTGACACCGGACACGTTCCAGGAGCCAATGGGCATGTTGAAAGACTGGGACCCGTAGAACATACAACTCATGTCCCGCACTGCCGATGTGTCCCATGACCCAATGTCTTGATTGAACTCCGCAGCGTTGTAAAACATGTGCTCCATATCTTTGACGCCGGACACGTTCCAGGAGCCAATGGGCAGTTTGAAAGAATGGGACCCGTAGAACATGTAGCTCATATCCCGCACTGCCGATGTATCCCATGACCCAAGGTCTTGATTGAACTCCGCAGCGTTGTAAAACATGGACTTCATATCTTTGACGCAAGACACGTTCCAGGAGCCAATGGGCTTGTTAAACGACTTGGCTCCGAAGAACATGTGTCTCATGTCCTGGGCTGCAGATGTATCCCAGGACCCAATGTCTTGATTGAACTCCTCAGCAATGTAGAACATGGACTTCATATCATTGACGCCGGACACGTTCCAGGAGCCAATGGGCCTGTTGAATGAACTGGCCCCGAGGAACATGAAACTCATGTTCCGCACTGCCGATGTATCCCATGAACCAATGTCTTGATTGAACTCCGCAGCGTTGTAGAACATGGCCTTCATATCTTTGACACCGGACACGTTCCAGGAGCCAATGGGCATGTTGAAAGACTGGGACCCGTAGAACATACAACTCATGTCCCGCACTGCCGATGTGTCCCATGACCCAATGTCTTGATTGAACTCCGCAGCGTTGTAAAACATGTGCTCCATATCTTTGACGCCGGACACGTTCCAGGAGCCAATGGGCAGTTTGAAAGAATGGGACCCGTAGAACATGTAGCTCATATCCCGCACTGCCGATGTATCCCATGACCCAAGGTCTTGATTGAACTCCGCAGCGTTGTAAAACATGGACTTCATATCTTTGACGCAAGACACGTTCCAGGAGCCAATGGGCCTGTTAAACGACTTGGCTCCGAAGAACATGTGTCTCATGTCCTGGGCTGCAGATGTATCCCAGGACCCAATGTCTTGATTGAAGTCCGCAGCGTGGTAGAACATGGACTTCATATCTTTGACGCAGGACACGTTCCAGGAGCCAATGGGCGTGTTGAAAGAATGGGACCCGTAGAACATGTAGCTCATATCGCGCACTGCCGATGTATCCCATGACCCAACGTCTTGATTGAACTCCGCAGCGTTGTAGAACATGGACTGCGTATCTTTGACGCCGGACACGTTCCAGGAGCCAATGGGCTGGTCAAACGACGTGGCTCCGCAGAACATGTGTGTCATGTTCCCCGCTGCGGATGTATCCCATGACCCAATGTCTTGATTGAAGTCCGCAGCGTGGTAGAACATGTACTCCATATCTTTGGCGTTGGACACGTTCCAAGAGCCAATGGGCTCGTTAAACGACGTGGCTCCGAAGAACATGTAGCTCATATCCCGCACTGCTGATGTATCCCATGACCCAAGGTCTTGATTGAACTCCGCAGCGTTGTAAAACATGGACTTCATATCTTTGACGCAAGACACGTTCCAGGAGCCAATGGGCCTGTTAAACGACTTGGCTCCGAAGAACATGTGTCTCATGTCCTGGGCTGCAGATGTATCCCAGGACCCAATGTCTTGATTGAAGTCCGCAGCGTGGTAGAACATGGACTTCATATCTTTGACGCAGGACACGTTCCAGGAGCCAATGGGCGTGTTGAAAGAATGGGACCCGTAGAACATGTAGCTCATATCGCGCACTGCCGATGTATCCCATGACCCAACGTCTTGATTGAACTCCGCAGCGTTGTAGAACATGGACTGCGTATCTTTGACGCCGGACACGTTCCAGGAGCCAATGGGCTGGTCAAACGACGTGGCTCCGCAGAACATGTGTGTCATGTTCCCCGCTGCGGATGTATCCCATGACCCAATGTCTTGATTGAAGTCCGCAGCGTGGTAGAACATGTACTCCATGTCTTTGACGTTGGACACGTTCCAAGAGCCAATGGGCTCGTTAAACGACGTGGCTCCGAAGAACATGTAACTCATGTCCTGTACTGCGGATGTGTCCCATGACCCTATGTCTTGGTTGAACTCCGCATCGTTGTAGAACATGGACTTCATGTATTTGACGCCGGAAACATTCCAAGAGCCAATGGGTTTGTTAAACGACTTGGCTCCGAAGAACATGTGTCTCATGTCCTGTGCTGCAGATGTATCCCAGGACCCAATGTCTTGATTGAACTCCGCAGCGTTGTAGAACATGGCCTTCATATCTTGGACAGCAGACACGTTCCAAGAGCCGATGGGCCTGTTGAACGACCTGGCCCCGTAGAACATGAAGCTCATGTCTTTGACGCTGGAAGTATCCCAGGCACTGATGTCTTCATTGAAGTCCAGGTCTCGAAGCAGAGCGCTCATGTTGGTGATGGCTGAGACGTTCCATTGCTCCGGGCTGCCATACCGCAAGCTCAGCTGAAGCTTGGCATCTGCGTCGTTCCAGCGCACAAGAGCATCCCTCAGCTCTTCTCGAGTGGTGAACGAGTGAGACGTGGTTGCCGTGCTCTGCTGGACTGAGAAGTGGCAGAAGCATAACAGCCCCCATGGAAAGCGCATCCCAAACGGAATAGTATACAATGGTGTACTCAAATATAGCATGGTTTTTTTTCTATACCCAAAGGGTACCTCTATAGTATATACTTGGGCCTTAAAGGGATTCCTATATAGTAGCTTTAGGGCCCAAGTATATACTATACAGGTACATGGATCCTTTGGGATAGTGTAGCATGCCATCTAAATGTCAAGGCACCAGCTTGGAAGGACCCAAATGGCTGAAGAGCGAGGGGGTTTAGGGTTTAGGGTTTAGGGTTTAGGGTTTAGGGTTTAGGGTTTAGGGTTTAGGGTTTAGGGTTTAGGGTTTAGGGTTTGGCGTGACCGGCGTGCATGCTTTTTTCTATGTAGTATTATTTGTTCAGGGACCCTAAGACCCAAAACAGAGTTAAAGCATCCTTGCACTATAGTCGACAGTGTGAGATTCGGATGACAAACGCTAGGGCTGCCATGGGCCCGACAGCAAGCCCTGAACCTAAACTAAAGTCTAAACAGTCTGAAGCCCTCAACCCGTTACAAACCCTTAGAACCTTCAAAGCCCTCAAAGCTAAAACCCTTAAACCTCCATCAAGTTGCAGATTGCAGCTGCCTCTTTTTTCTCAAAAAGCTTGAGGTCGCCACTTCCTCCGAGGAGAATCGAAGCTGCCCGGGTGAGGGGTGAGACACGCCGAAGCCACGGAGCAGAGTTTAGGCTTTACAGGGATTGTGGGGCGATTTAAGGGTCTTGTTTTTTTTTCCTTTCCTGCGCAGGGGGGGGGGGGAGCGTTTGCTAGGGGGAAGGGATTAGGCTTTAGAGGGGTTGTGGGGGGGTTTGAGGACAACACCTCAGGAGATGGCTGGGGTCGGTTGAGGCCCTGCTGAACACAACCTAGACCCCGCAAGCAGAGTTGAAGGTGTAGTCTAGGGTTTCGGCTCTCACGCAGACGCAGGCAAGGCTCCGGTAGTCTAGGGTTTGGGGCTCATAGGTTTAGGGTAGGAGGGAGTCCTTGATGCTTTCAGGAGCTGGGCCCTAACCCATCATGAACCCAAACCCCGTATGTAACAAGTCTTCTAAGTCCGTCAAGGCCCTCAGTATAGTGCCTGACCTGCCTTATACGAACTGCATGGTGCTTGCAGATGATACTGGCTTCTACATGAACCCCCCCCCACCCTCTACTCGGACTCTAGGGCAACTCTGAAGCCGCCACTTGCCTAAAAGCAGCTCAGGCGAAGCTGGTCGAGGGGGGGCCGTCAGTGTGCTCCTGCAACTTGCGGCCTTCGCAGGACTTCAACTTGCTGAGAGGTCTGAGGCTGAGAATAAACCTTCAACCCAAAAGTCTAAAGCTTTTCAATCTGAATCCGGTGTTTACGTAACCTGAAGCACCTCAACCGGCTAAACCAAATCGGTTCCTGTCCTTGGGATGGCTTGGCAGTGTGCTGAGTTGGGGCCCGGGAGCTCAGGGTACGGGACGGGGGGCAGAAACTGCATTGCACCAAGACCTTCTGAGGCCATCGCAAGGCTTTGTTTGTTTCGACCGAACACTCAGATGACATTGTCCACTAACTTATTGTTCGCTTGCAGAGAGAACGCCCCAAAGAGCATTCCATCGTTCAACCACCAGCCCCACAATTTGACTGCGGTTCGAACTCGGCCTCTCAGAATACGGGCCATTTTTTATGTAACTTACCGTAACTGACCCTGTCTCTTAAACCTGAACCCGAACCGTGCATGCCTTTGGCTCCGCCTCTCAAAAAGGGGTTAGGGTTTTTAGGGTAAGCTTGTGAAGTTTCTCAGGCTGGGCTTGCTGCTGCTGCTGCTGCTGCTGCTGCTGCTGCTGCTGCTGCTGCTGCTGCTGCTGCTGCTGCTGCTGCTGCTGCTGCTGCTGCTGCTGCTGCCGCCGCCACAAACAATCATTACTCTCTTGCGAACCCTAAACTCTGAACCCCCAAAACTGAATCGGAGAGCATTGGAGAACTAGGGTCGGGCTGCGGCTCAGGTCTTATTTGTCACTGTGTAGAGTTGAGGGGGGCTTGAGGCTTTAAAGGTTACGGTTTAGGGATGAAAGTTTCGTGCCAAACTGTTTGAGGGTTCGAGGCTTCGGATAGAGCGCTCACGCTTGCGGGCGACAGTTCTGGACGGTTAGATCCAAAACCCTCAACCTCTAAACCCTAAACCCTAAACCCTAAACCCTAAACCCTAAACCCTAAACCCTAAACCCTAAACCCTAAACCCGTGAATCCTGCAGCTCTGCCCTGAAACCCTGAAGCTCACAAGACCTGGAATGCTGGAGCTCTAGAGTCCTCGAGCCCCTAACGGCCCCTAACGGGATCTCCTACGAAAAAGCCCTTAACCCTCAAACCCCTCACATCTCCAAACCCATGAAGCCCGAGAAAAGCCTTCTCCCTTAAACCCTAAGCCCTAAGCCCTCAACCCTAAACCCTAAACCCTAAACCCTAACCCCCTAAATCCCTAAACCCCTAAACCCCTAAACCCCCCAGAACATCGGCCCATGGCTCCTCCAGCCGTCGCAGAAAACAGCGGCCTGGAGCCAGAGACTCGCTGAGCTTCTCTGGGGGAAATGCTCAGGGGTTTAGGGTTTAGGGTTTAGGGTTTAGGGTTTAGGGTTTAGGGAGGGTTCGTGCAGGCCGGGGATGTTTTGGGCTTCAGGTGTCCAGGTGTTGCAGTCAAGTTCCAGTAGCCTGGTCTGGGAAGCTTTGGGCTTTGGAGCCTAGGGTGTTGAGAAGTTTTGTGTTTTGCGAATTGGGAGTTTACGAAAATAAGGGATCCAAATATAGACCCCCAAATAGTAGGATCCCCTTTTCATAAGGACCCCAATAAGGTACCCCTGTTCTCGTAAACCCCCAATTGGTGTTTAGGGTTTACAGCCCTCGAATTCAGGGTCGAGGGCTTTGCCTGGATCCCCCGAAACTTCACCTCGTTCAGGGATCCCACAAAACCCCTTTGCTGCCCCCTTATAAGCCCAAACTAAACCTTCAAAGCCCAGCAATGAAAAAACAGATTCAAGAGACAAAGATAGCAGTGCAGCCAAGCTGCATCGATGTCATCTGCATCCCGCATTTGCGGCTTAGGTTTCTCTGGCAAAGCAGGCAGTGGGCCCGAGGGGGGGGGCCGCGCAATCTCAGCGTCGTACACGCGTGCTGGAATTCATGGTATAACTCATAGTCAAGATGCTTTGGTCAGTGAGGGTCTTAGGGTTTGGCCGCATATAAGGTGTGCTTGACGACCCCAGTCCCTGAAGAGCTCTTATACACATGCCTGAAGTCAAGAAGACGATATCACCCCTATACAAGTCATTTGCTCATTGCCCAGCCCGAGACTTTTAGGCCAAACCCTAAACCCTAAGCCTAAACTCCTAAACCTTAAACCCTGTATATTTGCACACTATGGACTTTTGGACTTTTTCGTCCCTCTCGATGCCAAACCCTACTTTTTGGTCATTCCGGACCCAAACCCCATGGAGCGCACCCAACAGACAAAAACCTGTAGCGGCCTACCTGTAGCGGCCTACATTTTCTGGGTCCCGACAAGGGACGGTCTCGGGACCCACAAAACTTGGCCATTCGGAGGCACACCGAACATCGAAGCTTTGAAGCACTGTCCCCCGTAAGTTTTTGTCAGTTAATGAGCTGCCCGAACTTGGAATCGCAAGCACTGTCCCCTTGAGAGAGTTGTCATAAATTGAGCTTCCCAAAATCGCAATTCGCAAGCACTGTCCCCCTAAGCTTTTGTCGGTGCTTTGCTGAAGGAATAGTGAGCAACTGGAGCGTTAAGGGTTAATCATTTTCTTAATGTTCTGAGATTCTTTGGGCGGGTGGGTTTGTCTCTGCACCGCTCGGCTAGAAAATGCTCGATCCGGAGCTGCTGAACCCTAATTAAGCCTAAGCCCTAAACCCTAAACCCTAGACCCTAAACAATAGAGACATGGCCCAGTTGGGTGTTTTCTGGTTACCGCGGACGAAGGGTCTTTGCTGCACACGAGAAGGGTCGGTGTTCAGGGTAGGGGGAGTTGAGGGTTTATGGGGTTTAGGGTTTATACGGTTTAGGGTTTAGGGTTTGTAGGGTTTCGGTTTTCGGGTTTGCAGGGTTTGCAGGGTTTGCAGGGTTTGTAGGGTTTGTAGGGTTTGTAGGGGTTTAGGGTTTAGGGTTCAAGGTTAGGGTTTGTAGGGTGTAGGGTTTAGGGCCTAGGGTTTAGGGTTAGACGCTTCAAGGCTGTATGTCGGGCTTGTGAGGGCTCATGAGTGTAAGGGCAACAGCAACATCAGCCAAGGGGTCAGGGTGTCGACGCTCACACTCGCACGCGCGACAGCTTCGTTGCTTTGGGGGGGCGTTCCTAGACTCGACATCCTTGGGTCCTCGACTCTACCCTTCAACCTCGAAGCCCTGGAAGCCCTCAGCCCTCAGCCCTTCAAGCCTCAGAATCCCGCTTGAGACCCCAAAGCATAAAACCCTGTAGAATCCTGGAATCCCAGAGCCCTTTCCACGTTAAGCCCCAAGCCTCGAAAAGCACCAAGCCCCCAGTACAAAGCAAGTCCAAAGACCCTTAGAACAGCAACAACCCCTGACACCCCTGAAGGCCTAAACTCTCTGCCGGTTCTCCCACGACAGAGCGTCAGAGCGGGCTCTTTGCCGTGATTCTTGTGCTAGCTGCGATTTGAATATACGGGCTCTCGAATTAAAGCGGTGTAGACATCCGCTAGACTTGTGCTAGACTTCTAAACCCTTTCTTCTACACATAAAGCGTCTCTTTTGGACGACTCATTCACCAAGTCTTGAAATTTGTCTCGGACCACGCTGCTGATCCAATGCACCATGGCACATCTCACGTGTTCATTCACACGGTCGTAGCCGACGCTTCGTTCGATCGTCTTCTTGACCTTCACCTCATCTCGCGGGTCGTAGGCTTCGGCTTCGGCAACGTCAACCTCGCAAAGGGATTGGGTCACTTCGGCGATGCCGGCATCCCCAAGCGACAGCTTCTGCGACAGAGACCTCGTGGCCTCGTAAGGCATCACAAACGTCACCTCCATCTGCATGGTGCAGGCGACATACTGCTCGTAGATCGTCCAAACTCTTCGTAAGTACGTGGGCTGGTGCCATGTGTCCAGGATGGCCACCACTTTGCCACTGCGCCGCAGGTTTTCCTCGAAGACCTCCTCCAAGTTGTCGCTGCCCGCAGGACTTCCATCCACTATCAAGCGAAACTGATTGTTCACGAAGAAGCCTCCGGCAACTGCTCCAACCCAAACGTGTCGGTTTAGTAAGCTTAGCACCTAGCTAGTGACACAATCAAGGAAAATTTCCGGGTTGATAATAAGCAGTAGTTATGACTTAGTTTCGGCACAGGGAAAGTGCTAGGCTGCCTTCCAAGGCCGAGAGACACATATAGAAAAAGACATCACTCGGCGGAGCCTGCACCTTCCACATCTGCAACGCGCTTCGCCTTAGCATGTCAAAGCTGTCCCAGATGGAAACGGAGTAGGGTCAGAGATCTAGCATGCAAATGTCCCGGTGTTTTCCTGGATTTCCTGTGATTCAAAGCAAAGCAAACCGGATTCTACATACTTGGTTGTTGTCACGGAGTCAGTTCTGCTTTTGTGTCCTCGTCAGATAATCGATACGCTGTCCCAAATGAGGGGGTCTTGAAAAAAGAGTTTGCATATGTTTGCACGTAGTGCCGCCACTGCCAGCCATTGGCAAGATCTTGATGGGGGCCTACTGGGAGCCTGGCAAAAGACGAGAACATCATACCAGCTGCCGTTCGCAACGATCCTGCGGCCAAGACACAGCTGCCACAGCGAGTACTGCCAACTCCAGGACATGAAGTGGTTCTGCTTCTGTCGATGCTGCGTGGGAAGCATGTCCACCAGGGCGCAGCCCAACTTGCCATCCCTTGGGCAGCGGACGTCTTGGCCGAGCTTGTGGTCCCTGCACCAGAAAACGTCTTTCAACTCGAGGAAGGTTGGATCCACTTCTCGCGACTTCTCCTGCGCCAGCTCAACGAAATCTTGAAGCAAGTAGACCAGGCTGACGCCTGCGTGCTGACTGTGGCGAGCGCGTACCTCCTTGGCCGCTTGTCCAACGTCATCTGCGGTCCATCCGACACTGACGAGCTGCCCACAAAACTCTTGCACCGTGTCCTCCTGGCGTGATGCTTGTGGGGAGGCGGTCTCGCTTAAGCAGGAAGGCCGCCATGACAACGGCTTATAGTAGGGTTTGGGGTTTTAGGGTTTAGGGTTGTTTGGGGTTTAGTAGGGTTCAGGCTTAGGGTTACGACTGGCCAGGAAGTCTACTTGCTACAGGCTCCACACATTAGATGCTGAATTTCGCTCTGCGCCGGTTGAAATCTATAGTCTATCGCTGGCCTGTTCATCCCAAAGGGCTTCGTCCATCTGCTGCAAGATCCGATCCGCACGCTTCTGGTTCTCAAGGAGCTGCTGCTTCTTGTGTCTCCGACGCAGAACCCAAAGCAAAGCCCACAGGACCAGCAAAGCCGCAGCCGCCAAAGGCAAGTGGAACCACTTGCCTTAGCACTCTGGCCGCTCTCTCTTGGGGCCCGGAAAAACATTCAAAACAAAAAGCCCTAAACCCTAAACCCTAAACCCTACACCCTAAACCCTAAACCCTAAACCCTAAACCGCTCTCTTGGCGGCCTGGAAGAACACTGAAAACAGGCCATGAGGGGTTTAGGCCTTGGAAGGGAAGCTCGCCACCCCAACTCTCAACGAGTCCGACCCTAAACCCGAAACCCTAAACCCTGTGGACCCTAAACTCTGAGCTCTATAGACCCTAAACCCGAAACCCCTAAACCCTAAACCCGAACAAAGGCACAGGCCTGGGATTGCCTTCCGAGTCGGATCATCTTTCTGTTTAGGGTTTAGGGTTTAGGGTTTAGGGTTTAGGGTTTAGGGTTTAGGGTTTAGGGTTTAGGGTTTAGGGTTCAGGGTTTAGGGTTTAGGGTTGACTGTATTGATGACCCGCTTGCTCTACATGCCCCTCTACAGAACAACCTAGCTTTGAACTAGGGTCTGGAGGTCCCGGTACTGCTTTGGGGGCTCTTGATGGGTACACTTGTTACTACAGGATCGACACCTCGGAAAAATGCGACGATGCTGGTGAGGTGCACGTGTCGTCCTGCAAAAGGAAGGGAAAATTGCACACCTTACAGGCACCCGATTCTGAATATTCTCCGGGAGGGCATCTTTCGCATTTGCTGCGGTTGGCATTGGGCACCTGTCCTGCTGCACAGAGCTGGCATTTCTCGTCCCCAGCTCTGGCATAGCGACCTGCACCACACGCCTGGCAAATCTCATGTCGAGGTGCCGTGCCAGCAGGACACGAGAGGCAAGCCAAATCTCCAGTGTGGCCAGACTTTGGTACCTTAGCAGGATCTGAGCACTTGCAGCAGCTTGCTTCAGTCACCGGCGATGCCTGTGACGCACCTTGCAACCGCTGTGTCGTACCAGCGCGGCAAGAGAAGGTCTGGCAGGACGGCTTCAGATATGCCAGGCTCCGAAAAGGGTCATTCGTCTGGGATCTTCCAGGCATCTTACTAGACAGCAAGCAGCGGCCAGAGTCTTCTAGCAAGAAGGCCGAACAATTCTCAGACTCCTTGCACGTTGATGCGCAAGCTCGGAACCCTGAAACCGTGCCAAACGCCCCTTCCGCTATCCAGCTGTCTCTTCCCAGGTCTATGTAACCCGAGTTCAAAGGAGAGCATTTCCCATGCACACATGCGAGAGTTGGGTCGCGACAAGGGCAGGCAGGACAGGCCTGGAATGAAAATTGCCAAGCTTGGAAATCCAGCTCGATCGGGCACCCCAGCGCCTGTGAAGTGCGACTTTGCACACACTCCGTCATGCCAGAACCATCCCAAGGCCTTGGCCGGTTCATGTTGAGCTGAAGTCCTGAAAAGTTCCAGCTGGACAAGGCTTGGTTGAATGCCCCGGCAGCAGCGAACATACTGCCCATCTCCTTCACGGAAGACGTGTCCCACATTCCAAGGCTCTGATCAAAAGAACTCGCGCCCGCGAACATGGCGTTCATAACTGTCACACTGGACACGTTCCAAGAGCCAATGGGCATGTTGAAAGCACTGGCTCCGTAAAACATTGTACTCATGTTCGACACCTCCGATGTATCCCATGACCCAATGTCCCGATTGAACTCCACAGCGTTGTCGAACATGGCGAACGTATTTGTGACAAAGGACACGTCCCAGGAGCCAATCTCCACGTTAAACGACCTGGCTTGGTAGAACATGAAACTCATGTCCCGCACTGACGATGTATCCCATGAGCCGATGGGCCTGTTGAAGGACTTGGCTCCGTAGAACATGTAACTCATGTCCTGTACTGCCGATGTATCCCATGACCCAATGTCTTGATTGAACTCCACAGCGTTGCCGAACATGGCTTTCATACGCATGACACCTGACACGTTCCAGGAGCCAATGGGCATGTTGAAAGACTTGGCCCCGAAGAAAATGTAACTCATGTCCTGAACTGCCGATGCCTCCCATGACCCAATGTCTTGATTGAACTCCGCAGCGTTGAGGAACATGGCTTTCATACGCTTGACGCCTGACACGTTCCAGGAGCCAATGGGCATGTTGAAGGACTTGGCTCCATAGAACATGAAACTCATATCCCACACTGCCGATGTATCCCATGACCCAATGTCTTGATTGAACTCTGCAGCGTTGAAGAACATGGCTTTCATACGCTTGACACCTGACACGTTCCAAGAGCCAGTGGGCATGTTGAAAGACCCGGAGCTGTAGAACATGTAACCCATGTCCTGTACTGCCGATGTATCCCATGACCCAATGTCTTGATTGAACTCCGTAGCGTTGTAGAACATGGCGTGCATACTTGTGACATCGGAAACGTTCCAAGAGCCAATGGGCATGTTGAAAGACTTGGCCCCGTGGAACATGTAAGTCATGTCCTGTACTGCCGATGTATCCCATGACCCTATGTCTTGATTGAACTCTGCAGCGTTGAAGAACATGGCGTGCATACTTGTGACATCGGAAACGTTCCAAGAGCCAATGGGCATGTTGAAAGACTTGGCCCCGCGGAACATGTAACTCATGTCCTGTACTGCCGATGTATCCCATGACCCTATGTCTTGATTGAACTCTGCAGCGTTGAAGAACATGGCCCTCATATCTTTGACACCGGAAACGTTCCAGGAGCCTATGGGCCCGTTGAAGGACCTAGCTCCTAAGAACATCAAGCTCATGTTTTTGACGCTGGAAGTGTCCCAGCCGCTGATGTCTTCATTGAAGTCCAGGTCTCGAAGCAGAGCGCTCATGTTGGTGATGGCTGAGACATTCCATTGCACCGGGCTGCCGTACCGCAAGCTCAGCTGAAGCTTGGCATCTGTGTCGTTCCAGCGTCGAAGAGCATCTCTCAGTTCTTCTCGAGTGGTGAACGAGTAAAACGTGGTTGCCGTGCTCTGCTGCACTGAGAAGTGGCCGAAGCATAAGAGCCCCCATGGAAAGCGCATCCCAACGGAAGTAATAGTCTACAATAGGGTCAACTAGTAGAGCATGGTTTGATAAAGTGTAGCATGGCATTCTGACTGTCAAGACGCAAACGTGAAGGACCCAAATGGCTGAAGAGCAACCCTTGCCGTATGAGGCTGCCTCATGGTGATGCCATAGTCCGGCACATGACAGTACACCATTTGCTGCATTTTTGCTACATGCACCTTACGATCGTATATGCAACTTTCAAAGGTCGCCCAGCCAAAGCAAACATGAAGAGGCGCTCGACCATTCCTGGCACACCCAAACTTGCGACCTGCGAGCCCAAGGTGCAAAGTTGTGTGACCGCCGCGCGTGTTATCTTTAAACAACATACACTATACGGGTGTTGGGGTTTTTAGTCTATAGGGTCTATAGGGTTTAGGGATTAGGGTTTAGGGTGTAAAGCATCGTGCGCTATAGAGTCGACAGGCTTGGTAGTTTTCTGTTCGTGGCGAAGTCGTCGTCGTCGCCGTCATCGTAAAAGCAGTCGTAGGCTGAAGATTTCCACGATGTGCACTTCTGATGCCCTAAACCCTAAACTCTAAACTCTAAACCCCAAACCCTAAACCCTGATGAATGGTAGGGAAAAGGGCTGCCACGAGGAGCACGAGCCTGCCAACAAGTTGGCGGGCCGAAGGCTCAGCGCCGTCCGTGCCCAACGATAAGGTTTTTCTTTTATGGCAGCCATGCGCACGCAAGCGCTCTGGCGTGTCTTTTGAACAAATGGGGGCAGCGCGTCGGCGCAGATTCCAGGAAAGACAGGAAGTTGGGGTCTTTAGCTAACAGGTGCTTTAAGGTCTAGGAAGTCTTGTCGATGATCTTCCGTCGAAATGGAGTTTAGCCTAATGTATTCTTGAAGGACTGGCAGTGCATATTCCGTGTTAAGGTCCAACCAGTATCTTTGCGGATGTCCCCTGTGTGAAGATTTAGTGAACTTGACTCTATCCTTAAATCCCGGGGAATAGACCACATGGTGAACCGGATCGTTGGGCGGTGTAGCCAGGGTATGTGCCAGTTGCTTCAACTGAGCAGCAGTGAGGATTTGAGAAGGGAGGGTTGGCTTACCAGCTAATACCCATACTCTTTGGTTGCAGATGTGAGAGTACGTAATACGAGTCTTTGATGCCTAACGCGTCGAAGATATTTATGATACCAAGCATCGATAGACTTGAGGTGTTTAATTTCGAGAGTGAGGGTGTCTAGTCCATACAGAAGGGTTGGGAGTATGGTTGCGTGAAAGATTTTAGTTTTAACCTTGATGTTGATTCTAGAGCGCCAAAAGTGCTGAAGTCTTATGTAAGAGGAGTGTGCTTTGGCTTAGCGTGCCTCTATGGCATGTTTGGTGGTCTGCTCCCAAGTTACTTGTGAACCTAAGTACTTGGTAGACGTAGTAATGGGAACCTGTGATCCATCCGCGAAGTATAGCGCCTGGGAGGCGTCGGCGGTGTACTCAAGAGAAACTGTCTTTTCCTTGTTTAGTATCATGCCGTAGAGGGTAGCTTCAACCTCTATAGCCTTAAGAATGTCATTCATTTGAGATTTGGTAACCGAGATAAGCAGTGTATCGTTTGCGAATTCTAGATCGTATACCGGTTTTCCCACTGACCAGGAATTAGTAGGGGTACCATGAATGCGTAAGCGCTGATATACAAAAAAAAAGAGGACCGTCATAACCATGATGAATAAATAGGGGCTAAGGGGACAGCCCTGTCTTATGCCCGTGTGCGGTGTAGCCTTGTGGAGGTCCCCGAATGGACCTTTGGTATAGAAAGATTGTTGGGTGTAGAGATCTCTGATTATGTCTACGTATTGGCGGTGTACTCCGAGGCGCTCCAAGGAAATGAGCATGGATTCGTGGTCAACCTTGTCGAACGCCATGCACCAGTCCAGAAAGAGACGCTGAAAGGGGGCGCCTGTCTTAAGGGAGAGATCCTGGAGCCTGCGTAGGATGAAAAGTGGCTGCTTGGTAGATTTGTTGGAACGAAAGCCGAACTGTGTGCTCCTTAGTTGATGGTCGTGCGTTTTAGCAGCAAAGCTGCGTAGATTTTATAGAACGTGTTGAGAAGGGATATGGGGCGGTAGCTGGCAGGGTCTGAATCCGAACCTTTGCCCTTATAAAAGCTAACCACCAGCGCCTCTTTCCATTCCTGGGGGACCGTGGCTGTAGATAAGCAATCGTTAAACATCTGCAAGAGTTGTTGTTCTCCTACGTAGTCTAAGAGAAGTACCAACTCATTTCGAATGCCGTCCGGGCCCGGGGCTTTAGCCTTACGTAATTGCTTCAGGACTACGGAAAGCTCAATGAGAGTGAAAGGCGTGGGCGGTGTAGCTTGTGTGGGGTACAACGGCGGAGAGTCTCTCAGAAGGGCCCTTTCTTCTTCAATGTTTGGTCTTCCGCTACCCGAAGAGCTCGAACTATACATTCCGGGGAGGTCTGTGTAGCGAATGGCAGGGAGGGTGCTTCCTCAATAGGCAGGTTGGTCGGGGTGAAATACCACCTTTGGTCCGATCGGCCCCCGACACGTAGGCCGTCTTGTTTTGCCTGCCCTGCAAGCGCGTCTGCCATGTCGTTAAATTCCTGACCTGAATGGCCCTTTATCCAGCGCCATTGTACCTTAGTTTTAGTTTGTAGGACGGCGTAAATGCGTTTGGCGTTGTAGACCAATGCTTTATGCCTATAGGGTCTAAACCATACCTTCGACCCATTTGCTGTCGAAACAAAACGTAATTTGGGGTGGTATGACTTCTAGCGCTAGTAGATACAGAGCAGCTTCCACCCAAGCAGAGAGTTCACCGGTGTTATTGCTACCTACTACCGCTCCTATGGAAAAGGGGGACGTGTTAGTAACAACGGGGCCTCTGGCGGAATGTGTGGGAACTTCGTTATATTAGAAACAAGTACGAATCCCCAACCAGCCGGCGTTGTACTCGAGCATCGGCCCCTGGAGCCCGATCCATCCGTATAAACTTCCAGGGGGTCTGATGGTGGTGGCGGTGTAGCCGGTGTAGCCGGGGTATCTTCCATGTTAAGCGCTTGCTTAAAAGACTGGTTGAATTGTTCACGATGTTGGCGTTGTACTCCAGAGGGGGAGGGCGTAGTTGCCTTTGTCTACGTGCTCCTAAGCGAACCTTAACTTCTAATAGGAGTAGAAAGTGGTCGCTAGGGAACCCTGTGCTCTGTATGGCTTTACACTTACGTACGGTGGGAAGCCACTTTCTAGGGACAATCAGTCTGTCTAGACTTTGAAATCTCACTGGGTCTACTTGCGGTGTAGCCAGCCTATGGGGAGGAAGGCTGTCTAAACCTAGGAATGCGCGGACCTCAGAAACTAGGGAAAGCTGGTCTGACGCAGGGAGAGGCATTGTAGAGAAGCGGTCCCATAGCTGTAGGAGTAAGGGGGTCTAGAGTGAACTGGTCCCAGTTCTCCGGTGGTGAAAATTTGTCCCTGTAAGTGACGTGCTTGAGTAGGTTGGACTGCTTGAAGGAAAGGCCTCTCCCGGGGCCTCCGCCGAGGCCCCCTGGGGTCATGCCATGGCCGCCATGGTTCCATGACGCCCACCGCCCACCCCGCCATTGCTCCGCCTCCATCCTGGCCGCCGCCGTGCTTCCATGGCCTCATGCCCCCAATGGCTCATGGCCCCATGGCCCCATCCATGGTCCCATGGCCCCATGCCCCTAGACCCTATCAGCTGACGTTAAAGCCGCTCTCTGCGTCATACACACTATCCGCAGTGCCTGCCACTCCGCCCACCCCCCATGGCTCCATCCCTGGCTCCCCCCCCCGTGGCCCCATGGGGTCATGGGCCATCGCCTATGGTTCCATGACGCCCACCGCCCACCCGCCATTGCTCCGCCCTATATGGCTCATGGCCATGACCCCATCGCATGGCCCCATGCCCCGGCCATATGGTCCCAAGGCCCCATGGCTCTACACCCTATCAGCTTACTCTTAAGGGCCCCAGTGCATGCCCGCCCGCTCCGCCCCCTCCGCCCTCCCCGCCCTCCCCGCCCGCTCTGCCCACCCCACCCGTGCCTCCATCCCTGGCCCCTCGCCGCCCTCCCCGCCCGCTCTGCCCACCCCACCCATGGCTCCATCCCTGGCCCCGGAAAAGAAATGCAAAAAGCAAGTAGGTGACACCATGCAACATCATAACCAGCGGTAAAGCTTAACAGCCCCCACTAGCATGCACATGCTCTCGCTGACAGCCAAATGCCTAACGATAAGGTCTAGGGTTTAGGGTTTAGGGTTTAGGGTTTAGGGTCTAGGGTCTAGGGTCTAGGGTTTAGGGTTTAGGGTTTAGGGTTTAGGGTTTTTTTGCCAGGGTTTAGGGTTTAGGGTTTAGGGTTTAGGGTTTAGGGTTTAGCGTATGGTAGACACTTAACCCTGACACCCCAACACCTACAAACCCTTAACCCTTAAAACAAAAACCCTGACGCCCCGACGGACTACCAAGCGAAGGAGTTGCAAGTTGGAGATTCCAGCAACCCTTTTCCTCTCCCAAACCTTGACGTCGCCACTTGCTCGGAAGGAGAATCGAAGCTGCGCGGGTGAGACGCGCCAAAGCCACGGATCAGAGTTTAGGCTTTATAGGGGTCGTGGGGCGATTTAGGGGCTTTGAGTTTAGGGAGGACAGCGCCTCAGATAACTTGCTTGGCTAAGGCCCTGCTGAACAGCCTATACCCCACAAGCAGAGTTGAAGATGCGGGTTACGGTCTTGGGTTTGGAAGATCACGGGTTTAGTCTAGGGTTCAAGTTTCTCGATTGTCTCGATTGCGGGGGGCGGGGGGGACTCCTTGATACGTTGCCGGGAGGTGAAACCCTAGCCTCTTCATTCTATAACACAGGCCCTAACCCCTCATAAGCCCAAATCCCGTATGCAACCCGCATACGCCCAATTTCGCATGTCCGTCACGGCTCTCAATATTGTGCATGACCTGTCGTATACGAACTGCAGGGTGCTTGAAGCGGATTCTAAAACCCCTACGGCACCTGGCCGAACCCTAAAGCCTAAAACCTAAACCGTAAACCCTAAACCCCAAACCCTAAACCCTCTATCTCTCTCTCTCAGGTACTCGAAGCGTCAGACCTGTTCAAACCCTAAACCCTTCAACCCTAAATCCTAAACCCTAAGACCCTAAAACCCTAAACCCAAAACCCTAAAGCAGCTCAGGCGAAGCCGGTCGAGGGGGGGCCCTCAGTGTACTCCTGCACCTTACGGCCGAAAGGCCGCAGCACAGGACTTCAATTGGCTCAGAGGTCCGAGAAAACTAGGGTTCAGAGTTTAGGGATGTTTAAGGCAGGGTTTAGGGTTTACTGAACCTTTCATCGTCGTCGTAGTAGCTGGAAAAGTGAAGAGTCGTGCGAATGCTACGTGGCTGCCAAAAGAAAAGTCTGAAGAGACTCCGACGGTGAAATCGCAGCGCAGGAACTGAATGGGCTCAGAGGTCCGAAGCTGAGCGTCAAACCTTACCACAAAGCTCTACACCTTTGATCTTCAAGAGGATCAGGCGAGTCCCAAAACTCCAAAGAGCAGCTCTGGCTCGCGCAGCCCTAAACTTTAAACCGCTGGAGCGGAGAAACCCTAGACCCTAAACCCTAAACCCTAAACCCTCAACTCTAAACTCTAACCCTGAAACCCTTACAAGCCCTAAAACCCCTTAACCCCCTGCCAGCCCCGAGAGGCACCAAGCGAGGGAGTTGCAAGTTGGAGAGTTGTTCGGCATTTAGGGGCCTTTTAGGGGTTTGGGCCTAATTGTTTTTGTGCCACCCGCCTAGCTGACTGCAAGTCAAAACCCTCAACCCCAAAACCCTTGAATCTTGAAGCTCTGCACCTGAAACCCTAAAGCTCACAAGACCTGGAATGCTGGAGCTCTAGAGCCCTCGAGTCCCGGACCCCCTAACGGCCCCTAACGGGACCTCCTACGCAAAAGCCCTAAACCCTCAAACCCCTTAATCTCCAAACTCGCGAACAACAAGCCCAAGAAAAACTTTCTCCATCCTTCTCCCCAAAACCCTCCAACCGGGTCTAAACCCAACAACCCTAAGCCTCGAGACCCCTACATTGCCCTAAGGCCTAGGCCCTAAACCCCTAAACCCCTAAACCCCTAAACCCCTAAACCCCTAGACCCCTAAACCCCTAAACCCCTAAACCCCTAAACCCCTAAACCCCTGAACCCCTAAACCCCTAAACCCCTAAACCCCTAAACCCCTAAACCCCTAAACCCCTAAACCCTAAACCCCCTCACAACATCTCGGCCCATGGCTCCTCCAGCTTCGCAGAAAACAGCGGCCTGGAGCCAAAAGACTGGCGGAGCTTCTCTAGGGGTTTGAGGTCCAGGCGTTTAGTAGTTTGGGAGTTAGGGATAAGCACCCCGCGCGTGCTGCCGCTGTAGGCCCCTTGACCTCTCCTGAATTTCCTTTGGAGCCGGTCCTTCTCTGGACCCGCAGTCGGGTTCTCAATACCGGGGTTTGCATGCTTTGGTCTTTTGCGCACATGTTTAGGGTTTTAGTCGTCAAACAATTTCGGCTTGGGAAGTTTGGGGTTTCAATTTCCAGGTGTTGCACTAAGGTTTCAGTAGAAGTTCAGAGCTTAGTGTGTTGAGCGTTTTGGGTTTTGTGACTTGGTGTTCAAGGCTTTTATGTAGCCCGAATCAGGGTCGAGTTTTCCTGGACACCCGATCAGGGTCCGGCTAACCCCCCGCCACCCTAAACCCCCCAAACTAAACCTTGAAAGCACGGAAAAAAAATCAAGACAAACTAAACTTTCAAAGCCCAGCAATTATGAGAGGTTCAAGAGACAAGCAAAGCAGCCAAGGTGCATGGACGTCATCTGCGTCCCGGCATTTGCGGCTCAGGTTTCCCAGGCTTCTGGGATTCTAGGGGATGGCAAAGCAGGCATTTGGGCCGGTTGGCAGGGGCTGCGGAATCACGGTTTAGGGTTTAGGGTTAGGGTTTAGGGTTTAGGGTTTAGGGTTTAGGGTTTAGGGTTTAGGGTTTAGGGTTTAGGGTTTAGGGTTTAGGGTCGCACGCGAGCTGGAATGTATCATGGAATTCAGAAGCAAAACGTCTTGGTCAATGCCGGGCTTAAGGTTTGGCACGTAGGGTGTGCTTGATGACCCCGACCCCAACCCCTAACATCAACAGCCCTTCAACATGCCAAAGGTGTCGAAACAACAACTTAACCCCTACACAAGATACCGGGCTAAGGGCCCCCACACAACAACATTTCATCATTGGGGAATCAGGGGGTTGCTTCTAGGCATCTGTTAGAACACTCTGAGGCCTGAGCCCGAAATTAAAATACCCAACGCCTAAACCCTAAGTTGCAATAGGAGCTAGCCCATCTTCAGACTGTTTTTGTTGCGCGCTAAGAGTCCGTGTTCAGGGTTGAGGGGTTCGGGGTTTGAGGCTTCAAGGCTGTAGGCTTCAAGGGATTAAGGGTTTCAGGGCCAACGGTGTAAGGGCAACAGCTAGTCGGCTTAAGGGTGTAGGGTGCCGACGCTCGCACTCGCACGCGTGACAGCTTCGTTGCCTTTTTGCGGATTCCTTAACTATATATAAACGCTTCAGTCCTCAACCCTAAACCCTAAACCCTACAACGCTTAAACCCTTCAACCTCCAAGGTTGATCTAGTATCCTTCAATCCCAGAGTCCTTTCCATGTTAAGCCCCAGGCCCAAGCCTCGAAAGCCCCAAGCTCCTGGCACAAAGCAAGCCCCAAATCCCTGATAAAACCTCAACTCCCTTAAAAGCCCTTGAACAGGGGTCCGTGAAGACCCCTAAAAACGCCCTACAAAGCCCAATCATGCCCAACTGAGGCCTTGAACCCTGAGGCCCCAAAACCCTAAACCCTAAACCCTAAACCCTAAACCCTCGCTGGCTCTTTGCGGTGGTTCTTGCGCGAGATGTGCTGTTGAACACACAGGTTAACGAATTAAAGCGGTATAGACATCTGCTAGACTTCTGCCAGACTGCTAAACCCTTTCTTCTACACATAAAGCGTCTCTTTTGGACGACTCATTCACCAAGTCTTGAAATTTGTCTCGGACCACGCTGCTGATCCAATGCACCATGGCACATCTCACGTGTTCATTCACACGCTCGTAGCCGACGCTTCGTTCGATCGTCTTCTTGACCTTCACCTCATCTCGCGGGTCGTAGGCTTCGGCTTCGGCAACGTCAACCTCGCAAAGGGATTGGGTCACTTCGGCGATGCCGGCATCCCCAAGCGACAGCTTCTGCGACAGAGACCTCGTGGCCTCGTAAGGCATCACAAACGTCACCTCCATCTGCATGGTGCAGGCGACATACTGCTCGTAGATCGTCCAAACCCTTCGTAAGTACGTGGGCTGGTGCCACGTGTCCAGGATGGCCACCACTTTGCCACTGCGCCGCAGGTTTTCCTCAAAGACCTCCTCCAAGTTGTCGCTGCCCGCAGGACTTCCATCCACTATCAAGCGAAACTGATTGTTCACGAAGAAGCCTCCGGCAACTGCTCCAACCCAAGCGTGTCGGTTTAGTATGCTTAGTAAATAGTGACACAATCAAGGAAAATTTCCGGGCTGATAAGCAGTAGTTATGACTCAGTTTCGGCACATGGAAAGTGCTAGGCTGGATTCCAAGGCCGAGAGACACATATAGAAAAAGATATTGCCCGGTGGAGCCTGGACCTTCCACATCTGCAAGGCACTTCGCCTTAGCATGTCAAAGCTGTCCCAGATAGAAACGGAGTAGGGGCAGAGACCTAGCATGACAAACACGACGAATGTCTCGGTGGTTTCCTGTGACTCAAAGCAAAGTGGATTCTTACATACTTGGTTGTTGTCTCGCAGGATGCAGTTCTGTTTTTTTACACTAGCGGCATAGTGTCCTCGTCAGATACGCTGTCCCAAACGAAGGAGTCTTGAATAAGCAGTTTGCACATGCTTGCACGTAGTACCGCCACTGCTAGCCATTGGCAGGTTGTTGATGGCAGCCTACTGGGAGCCTGGTAAAAACTAAACTTCATACCTGGCCAGCTGCCGTTCGCAAAGATCGTGCGGCCAAGACACAGCTGCCACAGCGAGTACTGCCAACTCCAGGACATGAAGTGGTTCTGCTTCTGTCGATGCTGCGGGGGAAGCATGTCCACCAGGGCGCAGCCCAACTTGCCATCCCTTGGGCAGCGGACGTCTTGGCCGAGCTTGTGGTCCCTGCACCAGAAAACGTCTTTCAACTCCAGGAAGGTTGGATCCACTTCTCGCGACTTCTCCTGCGCCAGCTGCACGAAATCTTGAAGCAAGTAGACCAGGCTGACGCCTGCGTGCTGACTGTGGCGAGCGCGTACCTCCTTGGCCGCTTGTTCAGCGTCATCTGGGGTCCATCCGACACTGACGAGCTGCCCACAAAACTCACGGACCGTGTCCTCCTGGCGTGATGCTTGGGGAGGCGGTCTCGCTTAAGCAGGAAGGCCGCCATGACAACGGCTTATAGTAGGGTTTGGGGTTTTAGGGTTTAGGGTTGTTTGGGGTTTAGTAGGGTTCAGGGCTAGGGTTACGACTGGCCAGGAAATCTATTGGCGACAGGCTCCACACATTCGATGCTGAATTTCGTTCTGTTCCGGTTGAAATCTATAGTCTATCGCTGGCCTGTTCATCCCAGAGGGCTTCGTCCATCTGCTGCAAGATCCGATCCGCACGCTTCTGGTTCTCAAGGAGCTGCTGCTTCTTGTGTCTCCGACGTAGAACCCAAAGCAAAGCCCACAGCACCAGCAAAGCCGCGGCCGTCAAGGGCAAGTGGAACCACTTGCCTTAGCAACATGCCCGCTCTCTTGGGCCCGAAATATCAAACAACAACAAAGAACTCAAAAGGCCACCGAGGCCGGCAGGCCATGAGGGGTTAAGAACCTTAGATCATGGGTACGTTGGGGTCCTGATGGGGTTCGGCCAATTTCCGATCATTTTGTGGGCTATCCGGTAGCGAACCCTAAACCCTAAACATTAAGCCTTAACCCTAGACTCTAAACCCTATACGAAATAACCCTAGTTTGCATTGTAGCGGTAGGGCTTGCAAATGCTTGGAGGCCCACGTACTTGACATCTATTGATTTAAGACTGTATTTATAACCCCCGCTTACTATACATGCCCCTCCATATAGCAACCTGGCTCAAACTTGACAGCTTCGGGGGCTCTTGACGGATGCACTTCTTACTGCAGTATCAGCAACTCGAAAACTCGACGATGCTGGCGAGGCACACGTGTTGTCCTCCAAGAAGAATGGTAAATTGCACGTCTTGCAGGCACCCGATTCTGAATATTCTCCGGGAGAGCATCTTTCGCATTTGCTGCGGTTGGCATTGGGCACCTGTCCTGGGGCACAGGGTTTGCATTTCTCGTCCCCAGCTTTGGCATAGCGACCTGCATCACACGTCTGACAAAGTTCAGCTCGAGGTTCGGTACCATCAGGGCACGAGACGCAAATCAAATCTCCAGTGTGGCCAGGCTCTGGTACCTTAGCGGGATCTGAGCACTTGCAGCAGCTTGCTTCAGTCACCGGCGATGCTTGCGAAGCACCTTGCAACCGCGGTGTCGTGCCAGCGCGGCAAGAGAAGGTCTGGCAGGACGGCTTCAGATATGCCAGGCTCCGAACGGCATCATGGCTCCGAAAAGGGTCATTCGTCTGGGATCTTCCAGGCATCTTACTAGACAGCAAGCAGCGCCCAGAATCTTCCAGCAAGAAGGCCGAACAATTCTCAGATTCCTTGCACGTCGACGCACAATCTCGGAACCCTGAAACCGTGCCAAAGGCTCCTTCCGCTATCCACCTGTCCTTTCCCAGGTCTATGTAACCCGAGTTCAGAGGAGAGCATGTCCCTTGCACACAGGCGAGAGTTGGGTCGTGACAAGGGCAGGCAGGACAGTCCGCAAAAGAAAACCAAGTGGGGACATCCAGGTGTTCTGGGCACCCCAGTGCCTGTGAAGTGCGACGGCGCACGCAGTACGTCATGCCAGAACCATCCCACGGCTTTGTCAGGTTCGAGCTAACCCGAACTCCTGAAAAGTTCCAGCTGGACAAGGGCTGGTTGAATGCCCTGGCAGCATCAAACATGCTGGTCATGTCCTGCACGGAAGACGTGTCCCACATCCCGAGGCTCTGGTCAAAAGAGCTCGCACCCAGGAACATGGCGGTCATAAGGGTGACGCCGGACACGTTCCAAGAGCCGATGGGCATGTTGAACAACGCAGCTCCAGTGAACATTCCTCGCATGTCCCGCACTGCCGACGTATCCCATGCTCCGATGTCTTGATTGAACGCCGCAGTGTTCATGAACATGGAGTTCATATCTTTGACAGCGGAAACGTTCCAAAAGCCAATCGGCACATTGAACGACTTGGCCCCGTAGAACATGGCACTCATGTCCTGTACTGCCGATGTATCCCATGACCCAATGTCTTGATTGAACTCCCCAGCATTGTAGAACATGGAGTTCATATCTTTGACAGCGGAAACGTTCCAAAAGCCAATCGGCACATTGAACGACTTGGCCCCGTAGAACATGAAACTCATGTTCCCTACTGCCGATGTATCCCATGACCCGATGTCTTGATTGAACTCGGCAGCATTGTAGAACATAGCCTTCATATCTTTGACAGCGGAAACGTTCCAAAAGCCAATCGGCACATTGAACGACTTGGCCCCGTAGAACATGAAACTCATGTCCCGTGCTGCCGGTGTATCCCATGAACCAATGTCTTGATTGAACGCGGCAGCGTTGTAGAACATGGAGTTCATATCTTTGACAGCGGAAACGTTCCAAAAGCCAATCGGCACATTGAACGACTTGGCCCCGTAGAACATGGCACTCATGTCCTGTACTGCCGACGTATCCCATGCTCCGATGTCTTGATTGAACGCCGCAGTAATCATGAACATGGAGTTCATATCTTTGACAGCGGAAACGTTCCAAAAGCCAATCGGCACATTGAACGACTTGGCCCCGTAGAACATGGCACTCATGTCCTGTACTGCCGATGTATCCCATGACCCAATGTCTTGATTGAACTCCCCAGCATTGTAGAACATGGAGTTCATATCTTTGACAGCGGAAACGTTCCAAAAGCCAATCGGCACATTGAACGACTTGGCCCCGTAGAACATGAAACTCATGTTCCCTACTGCCGATGTATCCCATGACCCGATTGCAATCTGCGGGGTTCACAACCGCGGATTAAGGGAGTTGGAGCCTGGTTCACAAGGTTCCCCAGCAGGCTGCACACTGCTACTTTTCTGGCGCCTAGCGCGCATAAGCTCAAGGGCCCTGTAGCGGCAGTACATACATGCTTCAAATGGCATGACGCTCTCGCTCCACGAAAGCATATGGAATCGCAGAACTTTGCATTCCCTGTACTTTAAGTTGATCAAGAAGCCGGATGACTTCCTTGATCCCTGGCATCGTTCTGTACGTCAACTTGCAGTGCCAGCCAACCTTGTTCAAGATGCTCTCTAAGTTGGTAAGATGGCTTAAGCTTGGTAAGGTGGTCGGCTAACTGGCGACTGGTGTCAACCCACTTGAACGTACCTTTCAGGTCTTCGGGGTCAAATTCTTCCGCTGACTGTTTGATTGCACCTAGGTCTATCGTGAGACGCTTCTCTTGCGTGGCCGACACTGGCCCATCTTTCACAAGAAGATCATACAAACTACGGCAATCAGTCACGGGATGTACAGGGAGAAAGTCCTTGGGAAGTGCGCCGCTCTGCACCGGCGAGTAGCTCTCCAAGAGAACTTCCGCTAACAGCTCGCGGAGGAAGATGCCGCTGTCGAATGCTGTGTCGAGGGACATCGTCTCAGCTGCCAGCGTAGACCGGCATTGGCGTTGGATGCGATGTGATCGCCAATCCATGAGGGAAGCTGTGTCACCCCCGGGGCTAAAGACATCGGGCCCCGTCAAGAAGCTCAGGTACCCGGCTTGACTCTTCAAGCCCTCGGCGTTTGCCCAAGAGGCGTCGCTGAAGACCACGACCTTGGCCTGGTCCAACGGCACGGGGGAAAAACACAGGCCCCAGTCCTGAGATTTCTTTGCCTCCTTCAGCAACTTGTTGATCTCGAGGAGGTTGGAAACGGTGGGCTTCCCGGACATGAAGAGTGAAGTTCCGGCAGCCAGATCCGGACGTGTCTGGCCAATGAGCCAGTGTAGACAGCCGCCGGCCGATCTCAGCTCGGTCGTCTCCCGGCCAGTCAGCTCGGAGTTGGGCTGAATGGACCTCCACTTCGGTACCGGAGTGAGGTTCGTTGCCTGGATGAACTTCTCCTGCGTCAGCTGCACTCGGCCATCAGGAAGTCGACGGACTTGTTTCCCGCCGTATTCCAGCACCTCGTCTGTCCGGGAGTCGGCCCAGGACCCAAAGTCGAAGGCCTCTTTCACCTTCGCCAGCACTTCGTCGGCGCGCCCTCCAGGTTCGCCGGCACCGATCAGATCGTCCACGTGGGCTCCCATCAGGAGCACCAATTGCCCCAGGTGGTAGTAGGCGAAGAGGGCCTTATCGAGCACGGACTGCACGAAACCCAGCTTTAACAATGTGTCGCGGAGGTGCCTCCAGAACAACCTTGGTGAGTTTGCCAGGCCGAAAATCCCGCGAACCACGAGAAGGATCTGGCCCGCGACGAGCCCCGGAAGGCCCTCACGGGGTTGCCTTAGAAACAAAGGCTCCTTCCTCGAAGCCAGCGACTGGTCGCCCTGCAAGAAAGCGCCGGTGACGTCCGCGTTGAAGAGGAACCAGGACGGCAAGCTTGCTGCAATTTGAAGGATCACCATGAGACCCAATCTTGTCAGCGTCGGAGCATCTCGCCGCAAAGTGAGCAAGTCAGGATCGCGGTCGCCCCTGCACACCAGCCTAGCCTTTGCTTTCAAAGGCAGCCAGGGGTAGGCCGCATTCTTGTTGCGGTAGCACACCCTAGTGTCGAGGATGCGACTGCTGTCGTACTGTTCCAACACAACCTGGGACGCGTGGGGCGACAGGATCTCGACCGCTGCATACTTTGTCCATGTGTCCCACTCCTTCTGCAAGGCCGCCGCGTAGCTGTCCTTCTGCTCGAATGGGATCTGGTTGAAGGGGATCTCCTTCTCAAGCGCTTTGGCCTCTTTTCGAGTTGCGCATGCAGCGCGTGTGCCAGCGGCCAAAACGGACTCCTGGAAGGGCTGCGAAGGTTTGGCAAAGAGCTCCTCCACTGAAACCGGCACATAGACGGTGGTGATGTTTACGCCCTTCCCGAGCGCGGCCTCAAGAGCAGCCTCAGCAGCTTCGTCCAACTCTGGTTCTGGCGTATCAACCTCCACGACCTCCGAGCGGAAACGCTTGGCTTCCGGTTCTTCAAGGCCGCTAGGTCGGTCCTCGCGCGCCGTTGGGGACGGCTGTGTCCTATCAGACCCACACAAGGAACCAGTGCCATGTTCATATCGCTCCGGTAGTGGTCTGTCTCCTTCGCGATGCTCTCCTTCACCTGCTGCAGCTTGTGCGTCTAATCCGGGGAGTTCGTTAGGTGCGTCCTCGATGTTGTCGTCGAAGAAAGGGATTACTTCCCCGGGTGCACCAGCTTCTCCATCGGGGACCTCGGCTCGTATGTCCAGGAACTCCTCCGGCGGGTTGTCTAACAGCTGCTGCATGTCCTCTTCTTGGATGCGCCACACTTCTGTCCCAAAGGCCGGTCGCAGCTGCTCTTTGGCCACCAACAAACAGCGGCCGTTTGAGGTGACCCAGTAGTTCGACTGGCCTTCATCTCCACGGTGGGGCCCAATGACTGAGCCTCTGCACCAACCAGCCGGAAGCCGCCGAGGCTTCCTTGTCTTTGGATCTTTCCTGGTCCTGGCTTCACGCCAGAAGGCCACCAATTCGCCCGGCTCATAGCTCTGACGAGTTGGTCTGCCCAGGCGGAGGATTGCCTTGCTCAACGACTGGTTCACGGAGAACTCGGCAAGCTTGGCGTCGGCGCTGGCCCGGATTTGTTGGCGCAGTCTCAACTCCTGGTCGGCATCCATGCCTTGAAGAGCTTGTAGCTTTCCATCCGGTGACAGCAAGTCCACTGGCACCTTTGGGTGTTTCCCGAACACCCATTCGTTTGCTGAGCAGCCAGAAGTGCGAACTCGGTCGTTCATGCTGGCGCCGACAGAAGAGGCGAGCATCTTCATCCCCAGTCGGCCGGTAATGTGGTGCTCGTCGATCAACTTGGCCGCCGCGTACCGGAACGCCCGGTTGAACGTCTCGACCTGTCCTGCTTGCCAGTGTGCCTCCGCCGCAATGTGCTCGATTTCCGTGCCGACGTTAACGAGCTGTTCTGCAAAATACGCGCCGAAGCCCCCGTCCTGGTCCACCAGGATGGCGTCCGGCCAACCGGCCCAAGAAGCCCATATGTTGCAGAAGGTCTCGAACACATGTTCTGGATTTCGGCTCTCCACCGGGTAGAAGACGTTGAAGGACCCATTTGGCTCCACGATGTGCAAGAACCAGTGTCCTTCCTTATCCGCGTCGTGCAGGTGAACGAAGTCCAGACACACTCTCGAGTTGAACGGCCCCGTCATCTTCAAGGAGGAAGGCCTTGGAGGATGTGGTCTTTTGGTCCTCTCACAGGTGGCACACCGCAGGCGTCGACTGAGTGAAATTGCCTCAGGTGACACCCGGTAGTTTTGGGCAAGTGCCCGGGTGAAATCTTCCGCCCGTGGATGCCCCAGATTCCTGTGTGCCCTCACCAGCGACCGCGCAATTGCCTTCTCCTTTTCCTTCAGAGGCCCGCCGATGAACCAAATTTCTCCGGCGAAGCTCTGTTGAACCACGCCTTCTTGTATCATCCCCTCATGGATCACGTCCTGCACCATCTGCCCAGGCTCGACCACGTTCTCGCCAGGTTCCGCGGGTAGCGGCTGTCTCGTTGGAGGTCTCGCTGATGCTGGGCCGGAAGGTTCCCCAGGGGCATGTCCGAGGACGAAAATGGCGTAGCGGACGGGAGTCACAAATCGCTCACGCGGTGCTTGGCATTCGCGGATGTACTCTGTCTCAATCTGCACACTGTCATCGTTCAGGAGCAGAACGGAGGCACGATGTGACTCCTCTAAGCCAGCCTTCACCCGCTTTGCCTTAGGGAGGTGAGCGATCTGCACAGAGAGGATTTGCCAAGGCACCAGTCGCTCGATTTTGCTGTGGAAGTCCGTGCCGGGTGGAATGAGGAGACTTGCCTGGTTCTTACGACCCAGCAGCTCCTGAGCTTGAGTCAGCATGTCCCGCCACCCGGCTTCATCTCGTTTGACGTCCACATAGTGCACGGCCCTCACGGCTTCCCACGTCGTCGCGAAGCCATAGTCCTCCTGCGCCACGACTTCCCAGTAGGCTTGGCAGATAGCGTCTGCCAAGGCCGGCGGATACGCCACCGTCGTTGCGCATTGTCGGTCCAGCGCCCAAGTAAAATACGGGTGCGTGGCCACGAACCGAAGTCGCTTCTGCCCCAGACGTCCATTCTTGTCGGTCAGCTGGGGCATGGACACACACGACGCGGTCTCATACAAGTCCTGGCGCAGCTGGTACTCGGCCTTCTGGAAACCATGGGATGTTGCGGGGCTCTCGGCGACGGCATGTCCTCCTCGCCGTCGTTGGCTCCGGAACACATCGTCAGCAAGCTTCGCAAAAGGCTGTACATATTCTCGGCGCAAGGCCAGTTCTTCGTCGGCTTGTGAAACCGACCATGCCGTACAGGGGATTGCGACCACCACCAGACGAGGATCCAGTCGATCCAGCACACGGAGCAGCCACTGGCGCTCTTTGGGCTTCTTCAGGTCGCAGCCACACCGAATGTCGATGGGTTGAAGGACCCTCATGCCCCAATGGGCCGTGGCTCGTACCGAAATCATAGAAGTTCCACCGAACACTTCCAGGAGATCGCACCCGAATCGCTTGCGAGGCCATCGGGCCTTTTGGAGTCTGTCTTCAACCAGACTCCTGTGCATGCGAGCTCCTGCCAAGGCTTGTCGGGCTCGAGACATCATTCGTTTCACTTGGCCACGCTTCAAAGCTCCTCCTCCGACGTCGACTGTTCCGCTGCTTCCTCCTCCGAGTTCTCCTCCATGTCCTCGTCCGTATTCCACGCCAGCACCTCCCCGAAACTGACCGCCCCCTTCACGGGCGTCGGCGCCATGTACTTGACGGCCTGCTCGTGGTCGTAGGTCGGGAGGTCGGAGTAGACTGCAGTGCTGGCCCGCGATGTCATCGGAATAGGCGCGGAAGACGGCGTCGGTGCAATGTTCTTCGAGCTCGTGGCTGTCGAACGCCCAGCCGCCTTGGCCTTGTTGGCCTTCTTGTCGCCCTTGGAGCCCTCCACCATGCAGCCCTGCGAGCAAGAGTAGCAAGTGGACAAACTTGCGGAAGACGCCTCGTCCTGGCGCACGGAGTCTAACGCCTCCTTGCCCTTGACGATCTTGCCTCCCGGAATGTCTCTGTGGCCCCAAAGTCGCGGATACGCCGTCACCATGTCCCCTGCGACCGGGATGCGGTACTGCACCCCTTTCCACACTGTGCCGCACTGAGCACACTCCAGGAAACGGCCATGGGTGTTCCCCGTCTTGCGGCCCATGTGGGGCGGATGTCGGCACTTCTCGCGGGGCGTCGGATACTGGACAGGCGCTGGCTGCCCCGCCGGCTTCTGATTCCTCACTGCTGGTGGAATCAAGGTAGCCGGGATCGTCTTCAACGAGCTTTCCTCCTGCACGATGGCCTGCACGTAGCCCATGAGAGCCGGAGAGCGGTACTTCATATCCATGACCTTCTTGTTGAAATGCTCCCACCTGACCATCACGTCGAACATGCTCAGCATCTTCGTCACCACGCCGAACCATAGCCCCTGAAGGTGCGTCTTCTTCGCCCCGTCGGTGCTCGAGGTTGCCTTCCCCGGGCGCATGCGGTGTTGCATCGCCAAGGGTCTTCTGCGCAGGCTTCTGAAGGGGCCTAAAGCCGGAGTGCTGCGTAGGAATGCTTTCACCTTGTGGGATGCGATAGGTGCCCTTGCGTCTGGACGGAGGGATCCCTGGTGGCTTTGCTGCTGAAACATCTACATGATGTATCTTCTTAACTTGGGGGTTGAGGATCTCGGAGGGCAATGCCTTCACAGACTGTCCGTCAGCCAATGTGACAACCACGTGTTGTTCAGCAGGAGGAAAGCATTCAAGATCATACTGCCTACCAACCCCAAAGAAGTACGTGCGGCCTACCCAGGGTTCTTGCAAGGAAGCTGACTGTCCGCCCCACTCGTCCCGCAGAGGCACAGGCAACGCTGAGCAAACCGTCACCCTCAATGGCTGCAGGCTCTCGGGGTCCGGCCCATCGATCGCGTCTTGCGGCTCGAAGAGCGCCACTCGTGGCCTGCAATGGTGTCGAACGAAGATCCGAGTGTCATACTTGAACTCCCAATAGTCATTAGGCACCGTACAGGAAGTAGGAGAAGTAGTGAGTCTAGCGGAGTTTTTGGGCTTGCAGGGCACGTAGAAGTGTGTGGTTCCGCAGGCAACTTGCGAAACGTCGGGCAAGACTGTCTCTTTTCTTGCGGCGAATGCCGTTGCTGCGACATCCGAGGCGCCAAAGGTGGCACCTGCGTATCCCTCTTTCTGGGGCTTCAACCCGGCTGCCCATCCTCCTGCAGGAAACTCGTCGATCGCGATCACTAAGTGCCCTGTCGTGTCTACGAAGAGGGGCACCTCGATCCCGATTTCTCGTAGCAGAGCTCGGTCACGACCAATGTCCAAACAAGCGTCCATGAACTTCATCCAGTCTTGTCCTGCCAGAAAGGGCACCTTCGGGCTGTGCGTGTCTTCCACCGCCGAGGTGTGTATCACGGCCTGTTCCCCACCGATACCAAGCGGAAAAGACCATCTCTCCTTCGACGGCAATGGCGGCCCCGGCCCAAAGCAGTAGTGCTCCGACTCGGCCTCAATCTTCACATGGACGCCGTAGTTCGTTTCCAGCTGCTTGGCGTAGCTCCGCAACAAAGTCACCCCGGCCACCGTGTTCTCGCAAGCTGTGTCCAACGTCAGATAGAGCCGGTTGGGCTCCACAGTCGGTGGCCTGCGTGAACTGCTGCAAACTGCCCGCTCCAAGCTGAAGTCGGCCCGCCGGGTAACTAGGGCGCGCCGAAGCGACTCGATGTCTGGGCCCGGTGTGTCTTCGTCCAACAATTCTCGCACGCCTTTCCTTCCAGATGGCACTGGCTCCAGACCAAAGTGTCGAAAAGCTTCAGCCACCAACTCGGGGGCCTGACTCGGGGTCATGTGCGGCCGGTGCATGGACTGAATCCTGCTCTTCACCGCCTCAGCGTCCAGGAAAGTGTCAGAGGTGAGCTGGGCCTTGACCTGGTCCGCGTTCACGGCAGGCGCGCTTGGCTCGGCCTTGCGGCGCACGCGGTCAACACCCCGCGCCACCGCCTCTGCTTCAGCCCGCCTGTCCCGGTCGTCGCCTGGCTCTCTGCGCGCCGACACATAGGACGAGCGATGCGCCTCATAGCCATAGCGCTCAGCAGCCCAAGATGGGTACTCGACGTCACGGTCGTAGTCCTCGTACCAGTCCTGGGCCTCATCGTCATCGTCCAGGCCGTCCCGCTGCACGGCGTTGTTGCTCCTGGCACCCTTGCATTGAGGATCTCCCCGCCAATGACCACGTTGCCCGCAGTCGGCGCACTGCGTCTTGCTCTTGAGCTCCTCAAGGGACATGCCACGAGCCTTGCCGCCGCCTCCTTTCTTGCCCTTGCCGTCTTTGGACTTGCCCTTGGAATCGTACTTGGACTTGCCCTTGCCTTTGCCCTTCTGCCCGACGTAGAAGCCGCGAGCTTGCACTGCCCGCGCCAGCTTCTGGCGATTCTCCCTGTGAGTGGCGAAACAAAGGTGGAGTTCCCTCGCGAGGTCCTCCGGGATCTCCTCTAGCTCTGCTGACGCCAACTGCTCCACCGGATCCAAGTCGTAGATCCAGTTCTCAACTTGCTCCTCTGTCGCCTCGTTGCCGGGCAACTTCCAAAGGTCTGCGTAGTCATGCGAAATTGGGCTCTGTTGGATATGAGCTTCGTGAGCAGCACGACCTCCACGGCCACCACGATCTCGCACATCACGACCTCCAGCAGCGTTGGCCTGACATTCACATTCTGGTACAGCAGCTCCACCGCCGCCTTCATCTTCTTCCAGTTGTACTCGCCGCCCGTGCGCAGCAACAAATTTGCCTGTCTCTCGGTGGACGACTGGGTGTGCTCGAAGAAGAAATAGATCATGATCTCGTCCGGGATCGTGAGGTTAGCCTCGCGACACCTACGTGCCGCCTTGTCCATGGCGTCGGCCACCTCCAGCATGGAGTAGGACTTGTCGCCCAAATTCAGGCGAAAGAAGCCCCGCATGGCAGACCCCACCTTGTGCATCCTCTTTTCGTCGAACTTCTCCTTGAGGACACGCAACAAGACCTGCCACCCTTTCTCCACGCCGAAAGTCCGAGCCGGGATGTCCTCCAGGTAGTCGGCCGCGTCTCCATCAAGCGCAGCGTGAAGCCTCAAGCCGATCTCGCTGTCGTCGATGATGTTCTTGGCGATCTCCACATAGGAGTCCACTTTGGCCGACCATTTCCTGAAGCACTTTGGATCCTTCTTCTTGTCGCCGTCGAAGGCAGGAGCCGGAGGTAAGTTCCCCCGGGGCTTCCGCTGCGACTTGCTCTTGTCATCAGAGCCTGCAGGGGCTCCTCTTGCCTTCGCCGGTTCCAAGGGTGAAGACTTAGGTGCGCTAGAAGAACTGCTTGCCGCCGCTGTCCTCAGACCATTGCGACCGCGCTGTCCGGAACCTCCACGAGGGGGCTCTGCCAGCAGCTCATCTTCATCTTCGTCTTCAACTACATATGCTGGATGTGACGAGGGATCCATATCGTCTTCTCCGTACATCTGTCTGTCGGACTCCCTTTCGGAGTCTGCGGCCTCATCGTCTTCGGCCTCAGCCGCCGACAGATCATCTTGGCCGCCAGAGGTAGGCTGCGTCATCGAAGGGATATTGGGCATGCGCTACCAATGCAATCTGCGGGGTTCACAACCGCGGATTAAGGGAGTTGGAGCCTGGTTCACAAGGTTCCCCAGCAGGCTGCACACTGCTACTTTTCTGGCGCCTAGCGCGCATAAGCTCAAGGGCCCTGTAGCGGCAGTACATACATGCTTCAAATGGCATGACGCTCTCGCTCCACGAAAGCATATGGAATCGCAGAACTTTGCACCGATGTCTTGATTGAACTCCGCAGCATTGTAGAACATAGCCTTCATATCTTTGACAGCGGAAACGTTCCAAAAGCCAATCGGCACATTGAACGACTTGGCCCCGTAGAACATGAAACTCATGTCCCGTGCTGCCGGTGTATCCCATGAACCAATGTCTTGATTGAACGCGGCAGCGTTGTAGAACATGGAGTTCATATCTTTGACAGCGGAAACGTTCCAAAAGCCAATCGGCACATTGAACGACTTGGCCCCGTAGAACATGGCACTCATGTCCTGTACTGCCGACGTATCCCATGCTCCGATGTCTTGATTGAACGCCGCAGTAATCATGAACATGGAGTTCATATCTTTGACAGCGGACACGTTCCAGGAGCCAATGGGCATGTTGAAAGACATTGCTCCGTAGAACATGAAACTCATGTCCCGTGCTGCCGGTGCTTCCCATGAACCAATGTCTTGATTGAACGCGGCAGCATTGTAGAACATGGAGTTCATATCTTTGACAGCGGAAACGTTCCAAAAGCCAATCGGCACATTGAACGACTTGGCCCCGTAGAACATGAAACTCATGTTCCCTACTGCCGATGTATCCCATGACCCGATGTCTTGATTGAACTCGGCAGCATTGTAGAACATAGCCTTCATATCTTTGACAGCGGAAACGTTCCAAAAGCCAATCGGCACATTGAACGACTTGGCCCCGTAGAACATGAAACTCATGTCCTGTACTGCTGATGTATCCCATGACCCAATGTCTTGATTGAACTCCGCAGCATTGTAGAACATGGCCTTCATATCTTTGACAGCGGAAACGTTCCAAAAGCCAATCGGCACATTGAACGACTTGGCCCCGTAGAACATGGCACTCATGTCCTGTACTGCCGATGTATCCCATGACCCAATGTCTTGATTGAACTCCGCAGCGTTGTAGAACATGGCCTTCATATCTTGGACACCAGACACGTTCCAAGAGCCAATGGGCCTGTTGAAAGACCTAGCTCCTAAGAACATCAAGCTCATGTCTTTGACACTGGAAGTATCCCAGCCGCTGATGTCTTCATTGAAGTCCAGGTCTCGAAGCAGAGCGCTCATGTTGGTGATGGCTGAGACGTTCCATTGCTCCGGGCTGCCGTACCGCAAGCTCAGCTGAAGCTTGGCAGCTGTGTCGTTCCAGCGAAGAAGAGCATCCCGCAGTTCTTCTCGAGTGGTGAACGAGTGAGACGTGGTTGCCGTGCTCTGCTGCACTGAGAAGTGGCAGAAGCATAACAGACCCCATGGAAAGCGCATCCCAACAGGGTTTAGGGTTTAGGGTTTAGGGTTTAGGGTTTAGGGTTTAGGGTTTACTATAGTGTAGCATGCCATCTAAATGTCAAGGCACCAGCTTGGAAGGACCCAAATGGCTGAAGAGCGAGGTGCAAACTGGCGTGACCGGCGTGCATGTTGTTTTCTATATAGTATTATTTGTTCAGGGACCCCAAGACCCAAAACAGAGTTAAAGCATCCTTGCACTATAGTCGACAATGTGAGATTCGGATGACAAACGCTAGGGCTGCCATGGGCCCGACAGCAAGCCCTGAACCTAAACTAAAGTCTGAAGCCCTTAACCCGTTACAAACCCTTAGAACCTTCAAAGCCCTCAAAGCTAAAACCCTTAAACCTCCATCAAGTTGCAGATTGCAGCTGCCTCTTTTTTCTCAAAAAGCTTGAGGTCGCCACTTCCTCCGCGAGGAGGAGAATCGAAGCTGCCCGGGTGAGGGGGGAGACGCGCCGAAGCCACGGAGCAGAGTTTAGGCTTTACAGGGATTGTGGGGCGATTTAAGGGTCTTGTTTTTTTTTCCTTTCCTGCGCAGGGGGGGGGGGGAGCGTTTGCTAGGGGGAAGGGATTAGGCTTTAGAGGGGTTGTGGGGGGGTTTGAGGACAACACCTCAGGAGATGGCTGGGGTCGGTTGAGGCCCTGCTGAACACAACCTAGACCCCGCAAGCAGAGTTGAAGGTGTAGTCTAGGGTTTCGGCTCTCACGCAGACGCAGGCAAGGCTCCGGTAGTCTAGGGTTTGGGGCTCATAGGTTTAGGGTAGGAGGGAGTCCTTGATGCTTTCAGGAGCTGGGCCCTAACCCATCATGAACCCAAACCCCGTATGTAACAAGTCTTCTAAGTCCGTCAAGGCCCTCAGTATAGTGCCTGACCTGCCTTATACGAACTGCATGGTGCTTGCAGATGATACTGGCTTCTACATGAACCCCCCCCCACCCTCTACTCGGACTCTAGGGCAACTCTGAAGCCGCCACTTGCCTAAAAGCAGCTCAGGCGAAGCTGGTCGAGGGGGGGCCGTCAGTGTGCTCCTGCAACTTGCGGCCTTCGCAGGACTTCAACTTGCTGAGAGGTCTGAGGCTGAGAATAAACCTTCAACCCAAAAGTCTAAAGCTTTTCAATCTGAATCCGGTGTTTACGTAACCTGAAGCACCTCAACCGGCTAAACCAAATCGGTTCCTGTCCTTGGGATGGCTTGGCAGTGTGCTGAGTTGGGGCCCGGGAGCTCAGGGTACGAGACGGGGGGCAGAAACTGCATTGCACCAAGACCTTCTGAGGCCATCGCAAGGCTTTGTTTGTTTCGACCGAACACTCAGATGACATTGTCCACTAACTCTTTGTTCGCTTGCAGAGAGAACACCGCAAAGAGCATTCCATCGTCCAACCACCAGCCCCACCCTTCAACCCTAAACCAAGACTTTGACTGCGGGTCGAACTCGGCCTCTCAAAATATGGGCCTGTTTTATGTAACTTACCGTAACTTACCCTCTCTCCTAAACCTGAACCCGAACCCTGCAGACCCATAACCCTGAACCCTGACTTGCCTTTGGCTCCACCTCTCAAATGCAGCTGCTGCCAATGCCGCAGACAATCATTTACTCTCTTGCGAACCCTAAACTGTGAACCCGGAAAACTGAGAGAGCATTGGAGAACTAGGGTCGGGCTGCGGCTCAGGTCTTATTTGTTACTGTGTAGAGTTGAGGGCCCCGGGCTTGAGGCTTTAGCGGTTTAGGGCTGAACGTTTCGGGTTCAGGGTTTAGGGTTTATAGGGTTTAGGGTTTGCTTGAGGGCTCGAGGCTTCGGATACAGCGGTCACGCTTGCGGGCGACAGTTCCGGACGGTTTAGATTCAAAACCCTCAACCTCTAAACCCTAAACCCTAAAACACCCTAAACCCTAAACCCTAAACCCTAGACCCTAAACCCAACCCGAAACCCCAAAACACCCTAAACCCTAAAGCCTTGAATCCTGCAGCTCTGCCCTGAAGCCCTGAAGCGCACAAGATCTGGAATGCCGAAGCTCTAGAGTCCTCGAGCCCCTAATGGCTCCTAGCGGGATCTCCTACGAAAAAAGCCCTTAACCCTCAAACCCCTCACATCTCCAAGCCCGCGAACAAGCCCGAGAAAAGCCTTCTCCCTTAAACCCTAAAGCGGGTTTAAACCCAATAAGCCCTAAGCCTCGAAACCCCTGCATTGCCCTAAAACCTAAACCCCTAAACTCCTAAACCCCAAAACCCCAAAACACCAAAACCCCTAAACGCTAAACCCCTAAACCCTAAGCCCTAAACTCTAAACCCTAAACCCCTAAACCCCTAAACCCTAAACCCTAAACCCCCCCACAACATCTCGGCCCATGGCTCCTCGAGCTTCGCCGAAAACAGCGGCCTGGAGCCAAAGACTCGCTGAGCTTCTCTGGTGCTATTTTTTGTAACTCAGGATTTAAACGACCAGGGTTTAAGGGCGGTTTAGGGTTTGGGGTTTTGGTAGCTTAGGGTTTAAGTGTAGGGTCTCTAAACCATGGTTTGCCATGTTTTGGGATTTGTTTTGGGAAATCCTCAGTGTTTTCGTCGTTTAGGCCGGGGAAGTTTTGGGTTTCAGGTTCCAGGTGCTGCAGTAAGGTTTCAGTAAGGTTTCAGTAGCTTGGTCTTGGAAGCTCAGGGCTTTGGAGCCTAGGGAAATTTTGGGCTTTGCGAATTGGGATAATTTAGGGTTCAGCCCCCCGATACTTCAGCTCGTTCAGGTCCCAACAAACCTTGCCGCCGCCCCCCTTATAAGCCCAAACTAAACCTTCCAAGCCCAGCAATTACAAGAGCTTCAAGAGACAAGCAAAGCTGCCAAGCTGCATCGATGTCATCTGCATCACGGCATTTGCGGCTCAGGTTTCTCAGGGTCATGGGATCTAGGGGATGGCCAAGCAGGCAGTGGGCCGGGGGGGGGGGGGGGGGGACGCGGAATCTCACCGTCGTACACGCGTGTACGTGGTGTGATTCATGGTCAAGATGCTTTGTTCAATGAGGGTCTTAGCGTTTGGCCGCATTTGGGGTCCACTTGACGAGCCCAAGCCCCTAAGAGCCCTTATGCACATGCCTGAAGTCAAACAGGCGATATCACCCCTATACAAGTTAAGTTGCTCATCGGTTTGTGCGAAATTTTCAAATCCTAAAACCCTAAACCCTAAACCCTGTATATTCACACCCTATGGACTTTTGGATCCCTCTCGAGGCCAACGCCCCACCCCCCCCCCCCCCCCCGGTATTGGCCCCCCAACAGACAAAAACCCCTCCATCCCTCCCCACCTAAAGGCCTGTAGCGCCTAAGATTTTGTGGGTCCCGGCAAAGTACGGTCTCGGGACCCACAAAACTTGGCCATTTGGGGGCACACCGAATATCGAATTTCTGTTCCCCTAAGTTGTTGTCGGCGCTTTTGCTGAAGGAACAGTGAGCAACTGAATCGTTAAGGGTTAATGAAGACCCCTTCTGTTCTTAATGTTATGGGATTCTTTGGGGTTGGGTTTGTGTCTAAGTCTACGCTCTGCACGCTCGACGAGAAAAATGCTGATCCGGAGCTGCTGAACCCTAAACCCTAAACCGACGAACAGAGAGAAATGGCCCAGTTGGTCTTTTCGGGGTACCTCGGACGAAGGGTCTGCTGCACATTGTCGGTGCTCAGGGTTGAGTGAGGGAGTTTAGGGTTTATGGGGTACAGGGTATAGGGTTTAGGGCTTAGGGTTTAGGGTTAGACGCTTCAAGGCAGTATCTGGGTTTGAGAGGGCTCATGGGTGTAAGGTGGTTGGGGTGCCGACGCTCACACTCGCACGCGCGACAGCTTCGTTGCTGTTGGGGGGATTCCTAGACTCGAGACCCTTTGGTCCTCGACCCTGACCCGCCTAAACCCTTCAACCTCGAAGCGCTGACAGCCCTGAGCCCTTCAAGCCTCAGAATCCCCCTTGAGACCCCAAAGCATAAAACCCTGGAATCCCAGAGCCCATTCCACGCTAGGCCCCCAAGCCTCGAAAAGCACCAAGCCCCCGTACAGTGCAAGTCCAAAGACCCTTAGAACACGAAAAACCCCTCACGCCCGTGAAAGCCTAAACCCTCTGCCGGTTCTCCCACGACAGAGCGTCCGAGCGGGCTCTTTGCGGTGGTTCTTGCGCGGGATGTGCTGTTGAACACACAGGTTAGCGAATTAAAGCGGTATAGACATCCGCTAGACTTGTGCTAGAATGCTAAACCCTTTCTTCTACACATAAAGCGTCTCTTTTGGACGACTCATTCACCAAGTCTTGAAATTTGTCTCGGACCACACTGCTGATCCAATGCACCATGGCACTTCTCACGTGTTCATTCACACGGTCGTAGCCGACGCTTCTTTCGATCGTCTTCTTGACCTTCACCTCATCTCGCGGGTCGTAGGCTTCGGCTTCGGCAACGTCAACCTCGCAAAGGGATTGGGTCACTTCGGCGATGCCGGCATCTCCAAGCGACAGCTTCTGCGACAGAGACCTCGTGGCCTCGTAAGGCATCACGAACGTCACCTCCATCTGCATGGTGCAGGCGACATACTGCTCGTAGATCGTCCAAACTCTTCGTAAGTACGTGGGCTGGTGCCACGTGTCCAGGATGGCTACCACTTTGCCACTGCGCCGCAGGTTTTCCTCGAAGACCTCCTCCAAGTTGTCGCTGCCCGCAGGAGTTCCATCCACTATCAAGCGAAATTGATTGTTCACGAAGAAGCCTCCGGCAACTGCTCCAACCCAAACGTGTCGGTTTAGTAAGCTTAGCACCTAGCTAGTGACACAATCAAGGAAAATTTCCGGGCTGATAAGCAGTAGTTATGACTTAGTTTCGGCACAGGGAAAGTGCTAGGCTGCCTGCCAATGCCGAGAGACACATATAGAAAAAGACATCACTCGGCGGAGCCTGCAACTTCCACATCTGCAACGCGCTTCGCCTTAGCATGTCAAAGCTGTCCCAGACGGAAACGGAGTAGGGGCAGAGACCTAGCATGCATGCCAAACACGACGAATATGGAAACGGAGTAAGGGCACAGACCTAGCATGCCAAAAACAACGAATGTCCTGGTGTTTTCCTGTGGCTCAAACCAAAGCAAAATGGATTCTTACATACTTGGTTGTTGTCACGCAGGCTGCCAGTTCTGTTTTTTTACACTAGCTGCACAGTGTCCTCGTCAGATACGCTGTCCTAAACGAGGGAGTCTTGAACAAACAGCATATGCTTGACTGTGGTACCGCCACTGCCAGCCATTGGCAGGTTGTTGATGGGAGCCTACTGGGAGCCTGGTAAAGAGAAAACTTCATACCTGGCCAGCTGCCGTTCGCAAAGATCGTGCGGCCAAGACACAGCTGCCACAGCGAGTACTGCCAACTCCAGGACATAAAGTGGTTCTGCTTCTGTCGGTGCTGCGGGGGAAGCATGTCCACCAGGGCGCAGCCCAACTTGCCATCCCTTGGGCAGCGGACGTCTTGGCCGAGCTTGTGGTCCCTGCACCAGAAAACGTCTTTCAACTCGAGGAAGGTTGGATCCACTTCTCGCGACTTCTCCTGCGCCAGCTGCACGAAATCTTGAAGCAAGTAGACCAGGCTGACGCCTGCGTGCTGACTGTGGCGAGCGCGTACCTCCTTGGCCGCTTGTTCAACGTCGTTTGGGGTCCATCCGACACTGACGAGCTGCCGGGAAAGCTCACGGACCGTGTCCTCCTGGCGTGATGCTTGGGGAGGCGGTCTCGCTTAAGCAGGAAGGCCGCCATGACAACGGCTTACAGTAGGGTTTGGGGTTTTAGGGTTTAGGGTTGTTTGGGGTTTAGTAGGGTTTAGGTTTAGGGTTACGACTGGCCAGGAAATCTACTGGCTACAGGCTCCACACATTCGATGCTGAATTTCGTTCTGTTCCGGTTGAAATCTATAGTCTATTGCCCAACCAGGGGAGGGTGACCGCTGGCCTGTTCATCCCAGAGGGCTTCGTCCAGCTGCTGCAACAGCTTTTGGATCCGATCCGCACGCTTGTGGTTCTCAAGGAGCTGCTGCTTCTTGTGTCTCCGACGCAGAACCCAAAGCAAAGCCCACAGCACCAGCAACGCCGCGGCCGTCACGGGCAAGTGGAACCACTTGCCTTAGCAACATGCCCGCTCTCCCTTGGGGCCCGGAAGAACACTGAAAACAGGCCATGAGGGGTTTAGGCCTTGGAAGGGAAGCTCGCCACCCCAACTCTCAACGAGTCCGACCCTAAACCCGAAACCCTAAACCCTAACCCCTAAACCCTAAACCCTAAACCCTAAGCCCTAAACCCGAACAAAGGCAGAGGCCTGGGATGGCCTTCCGAGTCGGATCATCTTTCTGTTTTGGGTTTAGGGTTTGGGGTTTAGGGTTTAGGGTTTAGGCTTTAGGGTTTAGGGTTTAGGGTTTAGGGTTTAGGGTTTAGGGTTGACTGCATTGATGACCCGCTTGCTCTACATGCCCCTCCATACAAGAACCTGGATTTGAACTAGGGTCTGGAGGTTCCGGTACTGCTTTGGACCCCCCCCTCTTGATGGGTACACTTCTTACTACTGGATCGACACCTCGAAAATGGGACGATGCTGGTGAGGTGCACGTGTCGTCCTGCAAAAGGAAGGGAAAATTGCACACCTTACAGGCACCCGATTCTGAATATTCTCCGGGAGGGCACCTTTCGCATTTGCTGCGGTTGGCATTGGGCACCTGTCCTGCTGCACAGAGCTGGCATTTCTCGTCCCCAGCTCTGGCATAGCGACCTGCACCACACGCCTGGCAAATCTCATGTCGAGGTGCCGTGCCAGCAGGACACGAGATGCAAGCCAAATCTCCAGTGTGGCCAGACTTTGGTACCTTAGCAGGATCTGAGCACTTGCAGCAGCTTGCTTCAGTCACCGGCGATGCCTGTGACGCACCTTGCAACCGCTGTGTCGTACCAGCGCGGCAAGAGAAGGTCTGGCAGGACGGCTTCAGATATGCCAGGCTCCGAAAAGGGTCATTCGTCTGGGATCTTCCAGGCATCTTACTAGACAGCAAGCAGCGGCCAGAATCTTCTAGCAAGAAGGCCGAACAATTCTCAGCCTCCTTGCACGTTGATGCGCAGTCTCGAAACCCTGAAACCGTGCCAAAGGCCCCTTCCGCGATCCAGCGTGCTCTTCCAAGGTCTATGTAACCCGAGTTCAAAGGAGAGCATTTCCCATGCACACATGCGAGAGTCGGGTCGCGACAAGGGCAGGCAGGACAGGCCTCGAAAGCAAGATCCCAAGCTTGGAAATCCAGCGCGATCGGGCACCCCAGTGCCTGCGAAGTCCGGCTGCGCACGCAGGACGTCATGCCAGAACCATCCCAAGGCCTTGTCCGGTTCCAGCCGAGCGGAACGCCTGAAAAGTTCCAGCTGGACAAGGGCTGGTTGAATGACCTGGCATTCTCAAACATGCTGTCCATCTGATTCACGGCAGACGTGTCCCACATTCCGAGGCTCTGATCAAAAGATGTTGCTCCCTTGAACATGGCGAGCATTTTGGTGACAGTGGACACGTTCCAAGAGCCAATGGGCTTGTTGAAAGACGCAGCTCCCAAGAACATTCCACCCATGTCCCCCACGGCCGAAGTATCCCAGGACCCAATGTCTTCATTGAACTCCTTAGCCTGGGTAAACATGGCCTCCATCGCTTTGACACCGGACACGTTCCATGAGCCAATGGGCATATTAAAAGACGCGGCTCTGGCGAACATGTACCTCATGTTCGCCACCGCCGATGTATCCCATGACCCAATGTCTTGGTTGAACTCCGTAGCATGGTTGAACATGGAGTTCATATCTTTGACACCAGACACATTCCAAGAGCCAATGGGCATATTGAAAGACGTGGCCCCGCGGAACATGTAACTCATGTCACGGACTGCCGATGTCTCCCATGACCCAATGTCTTGATTGAACTCTGCAGCGTTGTAGAACACGGCCGTCATATCTTTGACACCAGACACGTTCCAAGAGCCAATGGGCCAATTAAACGACCTGGCTTCATAGAACATGTAACTCATGTCCCGAAGTGCCGATGTATCCCATGACCCAATGTCTTGATTGAACTCCACAACGCTGTAGAACATGCCCTTCATGTCTTTGACACCAGACACGTTCCAAGAGCCGATGGGCCTGTTGAACGACCTGGCCCAACCGAACATTACACTCATGTTCCGGACTGCCGATGTATCCCATGACCCGATGTCTTGATTGAACTCCTCAGCGCTGCGAAACATGTCGCTCATGTCTTGTACTGCGGATGTATCCCATGACCCAACGCTTTGGTTGAACTCCGCAGCATTGTAGAACATGGCGTGCATATTTGTGACACCAGACACGTTCCAAGAGCCGATGGGCCTGTTGAACGACCTGGCCCCGTAGAACATGAAGCTCATGTCTTTGACGCTGGAAGTATCCCAGGCACTGATGTCCTCATTGAAGTCCAGGTCTCGAAGCAAAGCGCTCATGTTGGTGATGGCTGAGACATTCCATTGCTCCGGGCTGCCGTGCCGCAAGCTCAGCTGAAGCTTGGCAGCTGTGTCGTTCCAGTGAAGAAGAGCATATCTCAGTTCTTCTCGAGTGGTGAACGAGTGAAACGCGGTTGCCGTGCTCTGCTGCACTGAAAATTGGCAGAGGCATAACAGCCCCCATTGCAAGCGCATCCCAAACGGAATAGTATGCAATAGTGTACTCAACTAGTCTAGCATGTTTTGGTATAGTGTAGTATGGCGGGGCAAGCTTGAAGGAAAAATGGCTGAAGAGCAACGTGACTCATGATGGTTCTATCATCTAGCGTATGATGGTACAACATTTACTGTATTTACTTCACGCACCTTTCGATCATATATGCAAAGGTCGCCTAGCCAGAGAGAAAAAAAGAAGCTTCAGAGGTCCTCGACCCTTCCTGACACAGCGAAACTTGCAACCTGCCTGCCCGAGGTGCAAAGTGCTGTGACCGCCGCGCATGTTCTTCCATATGATATGTGTAGAGGGACCCTAACCCCCAAACCCTAAAAACCCTAACTAGAGCAAAGCATCCTGCACTATAGTCGACGATGTGAACTTCGGATAAAACGCGAGGGCGACAGGGCTGCCATGGGCCTGGCAGCAAGCTGAAAGCAGCGGCACACCCTAACGCCACCTAAACCTCGAAACCCTAAACCCTAAACCCTAAACCATACGCCCTACACCCTAAGGCCCTTATAAAGCAAAACCCCAAAAAAAAACCGATGGCCCATCGGCGATGGGCACCAAGCGAAGTTTCACTGGCTGGTTTTTGGCGGGGCATCATGAGGGAATAATCCCTTAAAGGGTATATATATATATATAGGGCTCTAATTCCCTCATTCCCTACTAAGAACCAGGGGGCTACAAGTTGGAGATTTCGGCAGCCGTTTTTTCTCTCCCAAACCATGTGGTCGCCACTTGCTCCGTCAGGAGAATCGAAGCTGCTCGGGTGAGACGCGCCAAAGCCACGGAGCAGAGGTAAGGCTTTATAGGGGTTTAGGGTTTAGGGTTTAGGGGGGTTGGGAGGCGATTTAGGGGTTTTGAGTTTAGGGAGGACACTGCAGCAAATGACTGGGGATGATTGAGATGCTGAACACGGCCTAAACCTCGCAAGCAGAGTTGAGGGTGTAGTCTAGGGCTAGGGTTTATGGTGATAAGATCATGAGTTTCGGGTTTAGGTGTTTCTCTTGTGGAGGGACACGGGGGGGGGGGGGGGGGGGGGGGGGGGGGGGGCGGAATCCTTGATGTTGCCAGGAGCCCATTATGAAGCCAAACCTGTCTATGTCTGTCAAGGCCCTCAGTATAGTGTGTGACCTGCCTTATACGATTTGCATGGTGTTTGCAGCGGATAGTAATACAGGCTTCGGCGTGAAACCCCCCTCCCTCTACTCGGACTCTACGGCAACTGGCCGCCACTTGCCTAAAGCAGCTCAGGCGAAGCCGGTCGAGGGGGGCCCTCAGTGTACTCCTGCACCTTACGGCCGAAAGGCTTTCGCACTTCAATAGGCTCAGAAGTCTCAGAGTCTCAGGCCGAGGACTACACTTCTGCCACCCACACTGCATACGTGGAGGGTTTTTCTGGACGCTCGAACAACTCTCTGAGGGCACCCCCACCCCCACACCCCGCAACCCTAAACCCCCAATCCTGAATCTTCTTGAGACAACGAAGACAACGGCCCAGGTGCATCGATGTCATCAGGATCCTGGTATTGGAAAATAAGGCTTCTGGGATCTAGGAGCTTAGGGTGTGCGGGGTTTAGGGCGGGTGTAGTGTACAGGGGACATTTGGCTGGCAGGTTCTTGTTGTAGGGCTTGGGGCCCCTTTTTGGGCCAGTGTAACCCTTACCCTAAACCCTAAACCCTAAACCCTAAACCCTAAACCCAAAACCCCTCAAGGCGTCCTGCGTCCGCCCCTCGCGAGCCAGCGCCGACTCCATGCGCCCGTCGAATAGGAAGGACGCCTTGAGGATCTCGGCACCTGGCGTTTGTTTTTTTTTTTTTTTGGGGGGGGGGGGGGGGGGGGGGGGGAGGGGGAGGGGAGGGGAAGGGGAGGGGAGGGGAGGGGAGGGGAGGGGAGGGTGAGGGACTTCAGGGATTTCAGGGAGAAAGGTGTTACGTATGTATCTTTCTCTTGGGGCAACAGTATACAGCCGTTTCGAGCATCAGGTCCAAAATGAACTGCCAGTGTTTCCAGCACATGAGTGGCCTGCACGACGCCAACACTGAGTTTCCCGAACCAGGGGCTTTCGTCCCAGTCTACACCCCAACGACTGCGTGGCAGCCGGCCCTCTAGAGACTGCTGCAGCAGTTGCGTAGCACCCTTCAGATGAGAGAGTTCGGACTTCGGGGTACCGGCTTGGATTTCACCACCTGGCACTGTTTTTTGTTCTTGGTTTGCCAGATTTTCGGGATTCTAGGGGTTGGTGCGGCTGAACACTTTCTGATAACGCCCAGGCAGGTACTGCAGCTCTCGATCCCCGCATCCCTGGCATGACAGAAGCAAAGGCGGTCCTTTCGGATGGTAGCGAAACGTCAGGAGCAAGGTCCCACAGTTCATGACCTTTGACGACGGAGTCGCACTATCATAGTGAGCCCTTTTGAACTTCGTGGGTGCCAAGGCCGGATATGGGTTCAAGAAAAATAAGGGCCCTTGTTTGGGGTACCCCAAGTTGTCAGGAGTAGATTCTGCAGAAAAGGATTCCCCAACAGGGCGCATAGCTCACAATGATCTCATCTGGCTTTGTGGGCCAAGTGCCAGATTCGGTTAAGTTCTGCCTTGCGGTTTTCCGGAGAGGTGGAGGGTTGAAGTTTAGGGTCACCCTAAACCCTAAACCCTAAACCCTAAACCCTAAACCCTTAACCCTTAACCCTGAACCCTGCCGGGCTATGAACCTCATAGGGTTCTTCTAGTCTACATGTGATCTCATGTTGTAGAAGAGAAAGCAGGGTCTAAGAGATGCTGAGAGCTTACCACCCCAATCCCCAACCCGACCCTTAAGACCCTACAATGCCTAAGCCCTTCTCAGCGCGAAACGTAACACCTGCAACCTACGAATGCTCAAGAACCCCCCCCCCAAAAAAAAAATAAATAAATAAATATAAATAAATATAAATAAATAAATATATATATATATGTATATATTAAGGCTAATATAGGCATTGTTGTTTTGTTTATTCTTTTGGGGTAGTAGCAACCTATAAAACCCTGAAAGCTAAACCCCACAAAGCCCTCAAGCCTGTTGCGGTGTCGGGTTTAGGGTTTAGGGTTTAGGGTGTAGGGTTTAGGGTTTAGGGTTTAGGGTTTAGGGTTTAGGGTTTAAGGTTTAGGGTTTAGGGTTTAGGGTGCAGGGCCCGGCCTTGTCATGAAAGGGATCCACCGTGTCCTGGGTCACACCATTCCGGAGGGCGGCGCGTACTTCGTCCTGACCGGAAGGTTTGGGGTTTAGGGTTTAGGGTTTAGGGTTTAGGGTTTAGGGTTTAGGGTTTAGGGTTTAGGGTTTAGGGTTTAGGGTTTAGGGATGGACCCCCTAAACCTTAGACCATTCTAGGTTTAGTGGCTTTAGGGTTTAAGATTTATAAGGGCTTTAGGGTTTTGGGGCTTGAGTGTTGGCAGGGTTGGGTTCGGGGGAGCAGGGGATTCCAAAGACCCTAAACCCTAAACCCTAAACCCTAAACCCCAAACCCTAAACCCTAAACCCTAAACCCTTGATGCAACCTCCCCCACCCGGATTCAACCCTGGGGTTCTCTACACCAGGAAGGCATAGTATCCTCAGGCCCAGGTCCCAAACCTTCAACAAAAACAGCCGACATGTGTACACTTATATATATATATAAATAAATAAATATATATATATATATATACATAGTATACGTAAAATTTGTATCTGCATTCATATTTTTTTAGTATCTTCATCTGTACATACATGTCATACACGCAGAGCCCTGAAGGTCCTGCCGTGCAGCCTCCTGAGGCCAAAACAGCTGTAGAATCCGCTTGAAGAGGATCGAGTGGGCGATGAGGCCTCTGGTTCTCGAACTGAAGGTTTACGAAAAACAAGGGAACCCTCAAAATAGACCCCCCCCCCCCCCCCAATAGTAGGATTCCTGTATAATAAGGACTCCAAGAAGGTACTCTTATCTTCGGAAGCCCCCAACTAGATTTAGGAGTTTTCGGGAAAAGTTAGTGGCTCAGGTATAAGACCAAACTCGGCCCTACAGTCCTACACCCTAAGCCTTAACCTGTCAAGAAACAAACAACAGAAGTTGCATGCCTGTAGACCGAAGTCGACATCACCACGCAGCCCGAAAACTGCCCCCTTTGAAGGAGGCTTTCTTGTGTGATGAGAATGTAAAAGAGAACCTTGATTTGTAGAAACTGCCCTAAGCCCTAAACCTTGCACCTTGGGATGTTGCCCCCTAAACACAGTCCGTAATAGGGATTCTAAGCGGGTGTACTCTAATCCCCAGTAAGGACTGCAAGTGTAAGGGGGAACATCCCAACCTGTAACCCCTTAAAACGGCCCTTTACAGGGTTGATTGTGGGGTATACCCTGCAACCCCCTTTAAAAAAAACCCTGTTATAGGGTTGATTATGGGGAGTAAGACGCCTAATGGCCCCATAAACAAGGCACTTTCTAGGGTTGATTGTGGGGAGTATAAGGCCAAATAGCCCCACAAATAATGAAGTCCGAAAAACTGACCTTATAACCCTAAACCCTATACTGAACCCTCCACCCGACCGGGGCCACGGCCGACGACGGGCTCCTCGTCTTCGACGAGGATGCGCTTCATCAGGCTGGGCAGAGGTTTAGGGTTTAGGGTTTAGGTTTTAGGTTAATGGCTTAGGGGTTTCAGGGGATTTTGCGGCTTCGGGAATCTTGGGGCTGTGGGGATAGGGTGTTTGGGGTTGGTTGTGAGGTGTTGAAGAGTTTTGGTCCTCGAGTTCAGGGGTGCACTTTACGGCGTTAGGGTCTACTGGTTTAGGGTTGAGGTCTAGCTATTACACCCCAAACTGAACAGCTTCAAGCAAACCAGCACCTTATTTTGTTGTTGAGGGCATGCGGAGCGTTTTTGTTGTTCAGCTCCAGCATTCTTTTTGCAACATTCATCCCTCAGCAACCCGCTGTTCATGGAGTTTGTTGCCGGTCTTCACCACCTATGAACCCTCTTCACTCAAACACCCTCAGCCCTAAAGCCTGTAGGCCCAAGTAAACTCTATACTCCCCTTAGAACCTTAATAAAAATATTATTTTTAATATCCTCTTGGGTTTTATATCAACCAAAATAAAAAACAATTCCCAAGGGGGATATAGAACTAGGATTCAACGCTGGGTTCAACCTCAACTGCAGCTCTGGAACCAGAACCCCCACTTACCCACCCAAGATATTAACCCAGCTCTAAAGCCAAATACTAGTTGTACTATAACGCACCGAAAATATGAAATTACGTGCTAAATACTAGGATATGCTGTGCTAGGCTATGTACAATAGCAGACTTAGCTCAAAATCAATGCACTGTACTTATGTACTTCATTTGCTCGTTGTTTAGGGCCAGAAGTCGGATTGCTGTATCACTTACTTCTCCAATAAACAAGGGGGAAAAAGGTTAAACTTTAATATTCCTACTAAATAAGGACCATAAGGAAACCCAAAAAGTATAAAGTTCAACTAAAGGCGAAGTAAGTATGTACTGCTCACGAGGGCAAGAGGGGAGTTTTAGCTTGTCAGCTTGAATGCATGCAGGCCTCCTGACTCTTGCGTCGTCCTGCTTCAGGTTCTCCTTGCGGCTTTCTCCAGTCCGGTTTAGGGTTTAGGGTTTAGGGTTTAGGGTTTAGGGTTTAGGGTTTGGGGTGCGGCTTTCTACTCTCTAGCCTGACAAGAACACCGCGGGCCCTATATACCCCACTTCATGCAGGAACCGAAGGACACAGCGCAGCAACTGTTGCATCCCCAGCTGGATGTGACGTAGCCTACGTCGACAAGAGACAACCCATAGCTGGAGGTTAATCAATCCACCCTAAACCCTAAACCCTAAACCCTAAACCCCCCCATGCCACCCACCATGCTGGATAAAGCCACGCTGCAGGAGAACACGTCGGAAGAGACAAAAGCAAACACCATCCCGGCTTACGGTTTAGGGTTTAGGGTTTTGGGTTTTGGGCTCCTCCCTAAACTTCGCCGTCGCCTCGAAATCGGAACCCATCTCCCACTGGTGCTTTTCAGAACCCTCAGGTCCTTCTTGAAGGCACTTACTTCACTCCACCACGTCTGCGCCTGTGCATGCCGTCAACTCTGCAACGCCCTAACCCCCAAGCCCTGGACCCTCATCCCCTAAGTTCTTATATAGCTAGGCCGCCTCTACCCGAACTCCCAGAGGGGCTTGTTTAGTAGCCAGACCCTCTGAAAAGTAGTCCGAAAACATGATCCTCTTAAACCCAACAAGAGGAAGCATAACATATCCCGGCCCTTACCCAGGTTTCAGGTTTAGAAACCTCCCCAGTTGCCAAAACAACTAAGGCCTGGAGGCCTCCACTTGGGGGTATCCGAAGTTCAGTGTACCTTATTGGGGTCCTACTATTTGGGGGGGGGGGGGGGGACGCGGGGGGGCTGATTATAAGGGTCCTTTTGGTGGGGAGGCGGGGGTGATCCAACCCTAAACCCTAAACCCTAAACCCTAAAATCTAAAATCTTATTTTCGTAAACCCCCACTTGCTCCTACTCGGCTTGCTGGGCCCCAGGCCACTTCTGAGACGTCGAGGGCACACAAGGTGGCCGTAACTTCGGCCAACCTGGGGTTTAGGGTTTAGGGTTTAGGGTTTAGGGTTTAGGATATTTTCTCTAAGCCCCAAACCCCAAACTTGCCTAAAGCCTAAACCGTAAACCTAGTTGGGGTGTCTCTCTAACCTGTGCTACATCTGTGGTTCCGCGGGCCCTTATATTCAAGTCAGGTATCAAAAGAACCCCCCCCCCCCCAAGGCTTGAAGCTTGGGATTCTAATTGAACACCCAAAAGGTTTAGGGTTCTGGGTTTAGGGTAAACCCTAAACCCTAGACCCTAAACCCTATTGTTGAGTTCAGGGCTTAGAGTTTAGGCTTAGGCTAGGGCTCATGATGCTTCATCGGGCTCTTGTTTTCCAAAAAAAGGCCCCACCCTAGGTCTCCGTTCCCGTGAACCACGGAGCTCTCTAGCTAGGGTTTAGGGTTTAGGGTTTAGGGTTTATAGGGTTTAGGGTTGAGGGGCTTCATTGGTTCACAAGCGGTGCTAACGCAAGACATGGGACAAGGGGAGAGCTTCTTGTGAAGAATTCCCCCAGCAATATTGCGCCCGAGCATCTATTCAGCCCCTCGACACTACTGCTGCTACCCTAAACCCGTAAACGTATGGGGCTTAGGTCCCAATCCCCCCCCCTTTGCCCCGCCACAAGAAACAATAGCAAAAGGCCAGTAAACGGGCCTGAGGCCCTGTGAGAACCCCTCCCAAAAACCATCTATGCTTAGGGTTTAGGGTTTAGGGCTTAGGGTAGCAGCAGTAGTGTCCCAGGCTGATTAGATGCTCGGACGTTTAAACCCTATAAGCCCTATACCTTTAACCTTGTAAACTGTCCTAAGCCTCTCTCTCTCTCTCTCTCTCTCTCTCTCTCTCTCTCTCTCTCTCTCTCTCTCTCTCCTCTCTCTCTCTCTCTCTCTCTCTCTCTCTCTCTCTCTCTCTCTCTCTCTCTCTCTCTCTCTCTCTCTCTCTCTCTCTCTCTCTCTCTCTCCCCCCCAGGCATTCGAAACGTCAAGCAATAACCCTAGCCCTAAACCTTGAAACCCGTAAACCCTAAGCCGCTAAAACCCTATATAACCTCTACAACCTACTCCCCAAACACTAAACCCTAAACCCCTACTCCTTAAATCTTCAAAACCCTAAACCCCCTAAACCTAAGGCCGTACAATCACCAGCAATATCCTAAACCCTAAACCCTAAACCCTTTTGCAACAGGCTTCGTACTTCGCCTGGCTCTCACTCGCAGGGCCTGTTCTCTGAACAAGGCAAGCAAGGAAGTATCTGAGACAACAACAAGAGAAAATGCATGTTCTAGCAGCGGCTACACGGAATTGGGAGGTCTCGCCGGCATCACGCGTCTTGGCCCTCAGCATCATCTTCGGGTTGCATGGCTCGATCTCGCCACTCGTCTTGAGCTTGTCGTTCAGCACGTCTCCGTAATTTTGCCTCTCGTCTTCTCTGATAGTGCTGTTCTCGGAGGCGCTCAAGGGGCAGAGTCTCGCGTGAAGAAAAGGAACAGCACGTGTCGGCACGATCACTATGCCATCCCACTGGCTTGTCTGGCACCGAGGAAGGAGATGGATTGCAATACTTGTCTGATTGCAGGGCCTCCTCCAGGTGGTATACCTCTGATTGCAGCTTCTGAATGAGAGCGTCCTGCTGTTTTGCCAATTCCTCAGCTTGCGCGAACTGCACTCTAACCTGGCTCATTACATCGTCCATGAGAGTTCATTGAACTTCCGTGATGGTGTTGGCCTCGATTTGTGTGGATTGTGGAAGCGTCCTTTGCTCACTAACCATGATGGCATCGTACAGTCTGATCTCAGAAGATCCGGGAAGCAGAAAAGGCGCAACAGCATCATCTCGCACAGAGTACTCAGCGGTCAGAGCATACAGGGCGGAACTCAAATGATCCACCACCTGCTGTTCCTTCAGCCTGCGAGAAAGTCGGAGCGAGAATCCGAGGGAAGATGCTAGTTTCCTGCGATTGCTCTCCATGGAAGCTCACGGGTACTTGCACTCAATTGGGCTGCCCATTTGGACCTCGTAGCAAAATGGCTTGAGCCAAAATGGCTTGAGCCGTAGCCATTAAACCCTAAACCCTAAACCCTAAACCCTAAACCCTAAACCCTAAACCCTAAACCCTAAACCCTAAACCCGGCAAATGGCGGGGGGAGGGGGGGAGGGGGGGGGAAATCCTCGGCCAATGGCTCCTCCAGCTTCTCAGGGCCAGCGGCCTGCAGCCGGAGACTCACTGCTTTTTTCATTAATTAAACACGCAAATTAATGTAAATATCAATTTAAATGTAAATATAAATAAATAAATAAATACATATATATATATATATATATACACATATACATATACATATACATATATATATATATATAATATACATATTTTGTCTTCCGTGGTTTTCTTTTCTGGGGCGCTAGTAGCCGAGGATTGAAGTGGAGGGTTTTGGGGCGGCTTGGGGTTTAGGGTTTTAGGGGCTTGAGGTTGAACTAGGGTTTGAGCCCTGGACCCTAAACCCTAAAGGGTTTTGAGTGTAGGGGTTTTGGGTTTTGAAGTGTATCAGGAGTTTAGACTTTAGCCTGAGTCCCCTCAACCCTAAACCCTAAAACCCCCCGGTTTGCTGCCGCCGTAGGCCCGGGGCCATGTTGAAGGAAGAGATAAGAAGGGGCCCAAACAGTTTGAGACTGATCGCATCTCCAACCTATTTAACTTCCTTTTTTGGTTGAGCTTTTGCTCGCTGAGGGAATCAGGATGTTTGGTTTGAGGAATCGAGGGCTCTAATGGTTGATGAAGTCGGGAGTGAAAGTGTAAATTGGAGGTGTTACGGGCTAAAGCAAACGGATTTGTTGGTTGTTCTGGTCTGACTGTACTGTTTTCTACGGGCTTTTAATGTTAGTACCCATCGCAGTGGCAATCGCAGTCAAACCCTTGTAGCAGCAGTAGTGCTAATAACCATCTTCGCTTGATCTTGCTATTGTGACCCTAAACCCAGTGAAAAAGGCCCAGGCTCATACTACGGTTGCAGAGACGTCCCGGGGTTTGGGTTTTGCGGCACACGGCTTTGGCAGAAGGACCGATTGTCAGGGTTGAAAGCCCAGGGCTAAACCCTAAACCCTAAACTTGAAACCCTAAACCCTAAACCCCAAACCCCAAAGGAAGCGCAAGTTTCCGCGTCGCATGGTCGCAGAGGGAAGCAGCGACTCTTGCAGCCTCAAAGGCCGCAAGAGGACATCTAGCATCAAGTCTCCTAAAGCATCCTAAAGCTAGGCCTGCCCTAGTTGAAGGGCTGACGAGTAGCACCAAGGTGCAATGCTGGCACATGCTACCCACAGACGCCCCCTATACCTATACTCCCTAATGTCACAGGATGCCCTTCCTTCGCAGTCAGTTTAGTTGAAGCCCTAAGCCCTCAAACCTTAGACAAGACATATGTTCATATTTTCTTGATATAAGGTGTGTAGAAATAAACAAATAAATAAATAAAAAAGAAAAACAAGTAAATAAGTATAAAGATACACACACATATATATATATATGTATATTTCTGTATATTTACATAAAGAAATAAATGAATAAATGAATAGATAAAACATATATATATATATAAGTATATCTGTATATACATACACCTGAACTAAGGAATATAATCTTGGGCTCGCTAGGTACATCACCAGCGATTCGAAAGAAGCAGGAGATGCTCCCTTTGAGGAGATTCGTGTGCTTTGCCCAAGCAGTCTGGCAGTTCGTCCCTGCTATTTCAGTTTAGGGTTTAGGGTTTAGGGTTTAGGGTTTAGGATTTAGGGTTTAGGGTTTAGGGTTTAGGGTTTAGGGTGTAGGGTGTAGGGTGTAGGGTTTAGGGTGTAGGGTTTAGGGTTTAGGGTTTAGGGTTTAGGGTCTGGGTTTAGGGTTAGGTCAGGGTTCGAGGTTCTTCGTTTAGGGTTTCGGGATTAGCGGGGTGTGATTACCGAACTGAACTTCGGAGCTTAAGGTTAGGGTTGTTCCAAAGAAGGGCCCTCCCCTGATAGGTACAATGCTATGCCTGTTAAGTATTGTCCTCTAGAATTCTGAGCTTAGGTTTTGGACAACAAGTCTCTATACACCCTTGTGGTCTTCGCACCTGTCCTAACCCCTACCTTGGTCTGTCTACCCGGAGCTCCTTACACATCTACAGCCCGAGACTCTACACCCAGAACCCTAAACCCTAAACCCTAAACACTGAACCCTACACCCTAAACTCTAACTCAAAGCCTACCAACCCTTCAACCCTAGGCCCCAAAACCCACCTCAGACTCTCATGCCCCTGACGCCCACGTTGCTGCTGTTTGCAAAGCTCACCGTTGTGCTGACAGCACCAGCCTACGTCCGTCAACCTTGTGCTTGGGGGTTCATGGCACTTAGTAACCCAAGAATACCTGTACTTAGAACCCAATAACCCTATTATGTGGGCGATAATGGGATACTAAGCCTGAACCAGGAAGCCAGGCTTTGCTTGGAGGCACTAAGCAGATCAGGTTTAGGGTTTAGGGTTTACGGTCTGGGGTTTATGGTTTAGGGTCTGGGGTTTATAGTTTAGGGTTTGGGGTTTATGGTTTAGTGTGTATGGTGTTTAGGGTTTTTTGGTTTATAGGGTTATGAGATTTGGGGTTTAGGGCTTGGGGCTTCCTAATGTATAACCCACCCCTCCATTTATGGCTCCGATTCACAATCGGGGTCCCCTAAAACCAGCATCATGTGGATTTTTCTGCTATTCTCGGGGCGGAAGGTGTAGGTTTGGGTCTCCCTAAACCCTAAACCCTAAACCCTAAACCCTAAACCCGAAAACCTAAGCCCTAAACCCTAAAACATCCTGTGAATGTAAGCCCAACCCTCGTGGCATGAAAGCAACCACCGTATATGGGGCGAATTGCGAATTCCCCGAAGAAAGCCTAGAATAGATCCGGGGCATTTTTTCCAAGCAAGGGAGAGTAACACTGAGAACCAGCAGAATGAAAACTGCTACCGGAGAACTGATGACATAGGGTTCCGAGACAAGAGGCTTGTGGCTTTGAGGTTTGCGGTTCGAAGTTTGGGGTCAAGTAAGGGTGGACAAAGGTCCCCCTAGATCGAACGCAGGCTTACATGCAGTGCACGCTGAGAAGACTGTACCAAATGAGTCCAGCGTGGAAGGATTGCCTGGCTCTGATCTCATCGTCAGGCCAGGAATTCGCATCTTGCCCCAACTGCTTGTTGACAGAATGCCGCGGGGGGCCTGGAACTGCTTACCTGGTCGTGAACTGTCCCGAAAAGGGGCGGCATGCAAGCGGCAGTTGGAGTGGCACCACTAGGGTGCAATGAAGTCTCTGCAGCTGCAAGCAGTATAAGCAGTCAAACACTCTACAAACGAATTAAAACAAGGCAGTTGGGATGTTCCCCCTTACAGTAACAGCCCTTAATGGGGAATCAGAATCGGGGGTACTCTAATCCCTATACAGCCCTGAGTGAAGAATCAATAATCGGGGGTACTCTAATCCCTATTAAGGACTGTTAGTATACGGGGGAACATCCCAACAAGGCAAGTTGGTGTTGGCTATGCACGGGCAGCAAACCAACTCCAGCGGACCAAAGCAGGGAATCGCAGACTCGCGCAGCCTCCGCACGTCGGCAGGGCACGTCGACTTCAAGAGTACCCTAGGGTTTAGGGTTTAGGGTTTAGGGTTTAGGGTTTAGAGTTTAGGGTCTAGGGTTTCCTGTAACCCCAAACATTCTTCAGAACGTTCTCTCTTCTCTTTTCGCGGCAGTTCTCTCCCTGCACACCATGTCTGTGATGCAAAGAATGCAAGCCCTGACCAGATCCATCTAACATCGCCTCACAGCACGGCCCCGCGCACTCCCACGCAGACTTTACTTGCGAGGAACGTCTGGGTTTAGGGTTTAGGGTTTAGGGTTTAGGGTTTAGGGTCTAGGGTTTAGGGTTTAGGGTTTAGGGTTTAGGGTTTAGGGTTTAGGGTTTAGGGTTTAGGGGTTTTTCTCACCCGTGTCGCAAGCGTTTACGGGTTTAGGGTTTAGGAACTTACTTGCGAAGAACGTCGGGAGACACGAGTCCGAAGGGGGGGTCTGAAGATACGAATGGGATCATCTCCATCATGCAGTCGATTCCTTCTACCGGGTTTAGGGTTGGTTTAGGGTTTAGGGTTTAGGGTTTAGGGTTTAGGGTTTAGGGTTTAGGGTTTAGGGTTTAGGGTTTAGGGTGCCTTCTTGAGGTTCTCGCAGACTGCGTATGTGCACGGGCTGGCCATTCTGCGCTACACACCATCTTCGACATGCAGACCCGTGAAAAAAACAACTAAGTCCGAGCCTGGGAAAGGCATTGCGGCAGCAAAATGCTAGCCCCGGATGCACGGAAAGTGACTTTTAGGCTGTTATATGTACAAAGGATATTCATATGTATACATATTTGTATATGTGTATATATATATATATACATATGTGTATATATACACACACACACTTAGGATTTAGGGTTCTCATGCTGCAATGCCAATCCAGAACTCAATTCTGGGATCAGATGAGTCACCTCTGCGGAGTAGGTGCGCCTCTTACAAGTCCCCCTTTGTGGGCCGCTCGGGGGCGGGCCTAGATCCATGAGCAAAGCTGCAGCTATGTGCATGCCAAGCTCCTGAAATTACCACCTCGCCCCTCGGGCCCCGAAAAGTCTGCAATTTTTCGAAACGACCTGAAGGACTCTCAAACCCTAAACCCTAAACCCTAAACCCTAAACCCTAAACCCTAGTGCCTGAGAATTCAAAGGGGAGGGCGCCCAGTCCCCGGAGGTGCCGCGGGCGGTTCCGCGCCCACGTTCCCGTCTAGTCCTGCTTCAGGAATCGGCGCGGCTCGATCCAGCCCCTCTCCACCGACTCCCGATAGCCTTGGCGTTTAGGGTTTAGGGTTTAGGGCTTTAACAAACAGAGACACTACAACTGTAAATAGCTTTGAGCTTTTTTGA